CTAGGGAGCGGTATGCTGCTCTTAGTGCTGGCGACAAGGAAGCTAGGCTTCAAAAGATGCGAGAGTACTACCAGCGAAAAAAGAGTATTGATCCTGTACCTACCCATGGTATTTAAATTATTATCTCACAAACAGCGTAGATCTGAAGTGAAATCTTACCACTGGACACAAGCTCACTCTTCTTCAGGACGTCAGGTTCCTTCATCACCCGGGTACTCTTCCCTACTGTGAAAGTAAGACCAGTTTCTTCTGTTTGTCCTGTTTTTACTTGATTAATTTCTGTGATATCAATTTTTTAACATGCAATGGAAATATCGTTGATCTATGTTGTGTCTGTCAATTTATTTATCTGTGATGCCGCATTTACATGTGGTGCACACTCATCACTATAACGACTTCTCCTATGGTATTAACATACTGTTTGGTCATGATCTTGGTAGTTGTTTTACTGGCTAGGTGCTCACATTAGACATAAAATTTTGGATGTGATTATATATATACTTCCTCATGGTAAGTGTCTCATGTTAAGTTCTGATGATCAGCGCAATTGCTGATGGGAATTCATGGTGATAAACCACACCTGAATTCATGATGATAAACCACACCTTAATTCTATAAATGTGAGAGAAGACCTCCACTCAATGAAATTTAGTCAATATGCGAGCAGAAAATACACTAATCCCTGATTCAGTCATGGAGTAAATTGCATCATCTATGCTCACACGGTTAGTTTCTTTACCTGTATATTATCTTCCTTACCAATGCAGTCATCTTACTGCTATCAATGCATCTTGGCAGAATCATTTCCTTCAATTAAGCTTAATGAGTATAGAAAAGGAAGGTTGTTAATATTATTGCATATCGCTGTAAACTATTGTTTACTGCACATTTGATTATCTGGAATGCAGTACGAGAGAACACTTTGCTGGTTTGCCTTGCCCCATCAATTTCTGTATCCATTTAACGTTGCAGAGAATAGGCTGCAGTACTTACGAACTCTAATTTAGATCACATTAATACATAACCACACATTTTTTTAGCTGACACTGATTCCGTGAGCATTAGTTCATAATTTACATTGCATAAAGTTTATTCTCTCTACTACATGTGTTTCTTTTAACTGATGTTGGTCACCTCTATTATATTTAACTCGGGTTCATGGAAAGGTACTTCTGAGGACTGAGGCCTATATAACCCTTCCTCCATCTATAAGCCTTCTAAGGCATCAGTTGGCAGTAAAATAGGAAGACGGTCATTTATGTATTTGTTATTTAACGTTATATGTAATGGGTCTGCTGTACTCATGCTATGCTCGTTTGGGGCAGTTCATCCTTTGGTCTGTAGCAGTGCTCTTTCTATCGGAAAGATTATCTATACAAAGTATTGTATGGTCATTAAATTATTGTATGGGAGCTTATTATCTGTTTTATCTTATTAGAGACGTGGAATTATTAAATTGTTGTATAGGAGCTTATTTTCTGTTTCATCTTATTAGAGACGTGAAAATATTATGTGCTTATTCTCTGTTTTATCTTATTATTGACGTGGGTTTCACGTGCACATTTACATGATTTATGCACCAGAGTCTGTAGTAGATTGTTCAGCTCATTCAAACAGAATCAGTAACTGCTTAAATTAGAACCAAAGTCATCGGATGTCATTTGCTCTTGAATTGTCATGTTTTAAGCATGTATTGCTCTGAAAAAAGAAGGCTTCAACCTTTCAGCACAATATATTTTTAACTGAATACTTTACACCTCAAATTATTTGTGTCCTCTAAGATCGTGAAATTCAGTTTGTTGCTGTTGATTTATGAATATTCCAGTTATTTTGCCAGATGAAAAGCAGCTTAAGGTTTTGAATCCATGCAAGTTTGTTTTAAATGTTCTGACGGTACACATCATTTGAGGTACCTAATATTGTCCTTTTGTTCAGTAGTCCTTCCATTTGGTCAATAACCCCTTAAAAACTTTATTTAAGATACCATGCCCATATAAAACTTTGCATGCACCTTGGGCATGAGAACAACTAAATGGATTTGTTTTCATTATTTTATCTATGTTTGGGCATTTTATCGTGTTTGAGACACTAATGTGTCGGGCTACCATTGACCAGAAAGATAGACTGATATAGAAATCATTCTTTGTTATCTCTCTTAGTTTGTAATTAGAATTATCTGATTGTTGAACTCGAATTTCCTTGATGAAAATTATATTTGTTCAGAGATGCTCATTCTAGCTCTGTATGCGGATTTGGTGATTGAAGAAATGCATGGTAACATTTTGGCATGGTTTGAAAATATCGCAAATTCATGCTTCATCAGTTAATTGTTAGTACCCATGTTCTGTAGCCTCTCCTTTTCTCATTTTTCACACAATCCTTTTGATCTGCATACATACTATTTTTCTTTGTGTGCTACGGAATGTGATTAAACCATGTTTATATAAAAAAGCATAGAATTGACGTGGGTGCACATGTCCATATTCCTCTTTGCTGAATTCGAAGATCTACAAGTTTTACTTCTTAATATATAGCATAATAACTTGGCAAATGAATCAGATTCGTTACAATTTCGTTTTGTTCAGATCAAGGAAATGATTCCTCATTGATTTGTGCATATTTCTATATGGCATAGATTGTATGTTTCAAATGATACATATTTTCCCGTTGCAACGCACGGGCACCCAACTAGTTTTAGTATATTTCTATAAAATATATTTATCTTTTAACGGTTAAAAAGTGTACACGTGATTCGTGTTCGGTATGACTAGATGGCAGTTAGTAGCTACAGTAGCAACATATAATTTCTACCATAGCCACTGCACAGCTGCTTCTAGTAAAGTTTGACACTCTGGCCGTGTTTAATTGTTTAGGTGTAAAAACTTTGAAGTATACAGATACACATTTGAAGTATTAAACGTAGTCTAATAACAAATCAAATTACAAATTCCGCCGGTAAACTGCGAGACGAATAGCCTAATTAATCCGTCATTAGCAAATGTTTACTGTAGCACCACGTTACCAAATCATGGTGTAATTAGGCTCAAAAGATTTGTCTCGCATTTTACATACAATCTATGAAATTGGATTTTTTTGTCCACATTTAATGCTCAATGCATATGTCCAAATATTTGATGTGACATAATTTTTTGGATATTTAGAAGCGTGCGCGCGGAAAACGATGGTTTTTCTCCCTCAATGTCACCGGAACGAACACAGATAATGGGAAGTCGTATGAGTTGGACACAACATATTACTGTAAGGGCATCTACAATGTGAGCTATTCCTAGAGTGTCCTCACTAATTGAGGACACTCGTGAGCTATTCCTAGAGTGTCCTCACTAATTGAGGACACTCGTAGGGAAACTCAGCTCACAATGAGAGATACCCCTGGATGGGCTCTTCAAAATATAAGATAACTGGGTGAAGGCACTCAAGCTCACAATGGGTGTCCCAACCAAAAAGCCCACGGTGGGTATTTTCCTATACTACCCTCCTCTCTCCATAGCCCACCGATGACTTTTTTCCCCACCGACGCTTCTCCTCTCTCTCGCGCGTATCGCCAATCTCTCCCCCTCTCTTGCCCGCTCGCCATTTTCTCCCCCGCCGCTCACTGCCGCCTCCCTCCTCGCCTTCCCCAGCCACCGCCGTCGCCTCCCAAGCCACCGCCGTCGCCTCCCTCCTCGCCATCCCCAGCCACTGCGCCGATAGCCTGCGCCAGATCTGGTCGCCACCGCTGCACGAGGAAGCCCTCCGTCCTCGCCGGCTGCCGCAGCGCACGGTGGTCGGATCTGGTCGTCGCCGTCGCCTCTCTCCTCTCTCTCTTGCGCCACTCGTCGTCACCTTTCTCCTTCTCTCTCACCAGGCGCGGTGGCGAACGGCAAGCGGCGCGGGGACGGGCACGGTGGCGGAGGGCAGCGGCGCGCGGGGTCGCCGAGCCGTCTCCGTCGCAAGGTCGTCGCCGGTCGTCGTCGCCAACTCTGTCTCCTCCCAGTGAAACCCGAAAGCAAGATTTAGGACCTGCACTGGAGTTAAGCAGACCTCCTAGGCCAGTGTGTGTTTTTTGTATCAACACATGGGCCTCCCAGCGAAGAGGCCAAGGGTGGAAGGAGAAAAATCAGGTGCGGGAGCCGTGTCCTCAAGCCACGACGTCGCCCAACGCGTCCCCTAGCTCCGTGGCTCGACGAAAAGCGACTGAGGAGCGGAGGAAGACACGCCCCTCTGCTAGGGACGGCAAACTGATGGGCTGGCGACGGCTGTGAGCAGGGACACACTCGAGAGTACGCATTGGTGATGGCCTAAGGAGCCCAAATCCTAGAAAACAAACCACCATTGAACTTTTTTATTGAAAGAGCAATGCACATGGAATTGTCGAGATTTTATTACCTGCAATGAGGGGGTGTTTGAATCCAGGGACTAGACTTTAAACTTTAGTCTCTGTCACATTGGATGTTTGGACACTAATTTAGAGTATTAAACACAGACTACGTACAGAACTAATTACATAAATGAGAGCTAATTCACGTGACAATTTTTTAAGCCTAATTAATCCATAATTAGCACATTGTTACTATAGCATCACATAGGCTAATCAATGATTAATTATATTCAAAAGATTCATCTCGCGAATTAATACAGAGTTATAAAATGTGTTTTATCAATAGTCTACGTTTAATTATTTTAATTTGTATCAAACATCCGATGTGACATGTGACATGATATCTAAAAATTATTTAATCCATTGCAAAAGCCAAAACCCAAAAGGACGTCACCGCCCCCCGACCTTCCACATACCCCCAGTACCCCACCTGTGATTCCCTCCCCTCCATCTGACGCCAAACGGCCGCGCCCATTCCCCCGCGGTCCCGGTCGCCTCTCCTCGGGTCCTCGTCAACTCAAAAGGCGCACTCGAACGAACCGGCGGGGGCGAATCCTTCGCCCCGAAGCCTCTCCTCGGGTCCTCGTCAACTCAAAAGGCGCACTCGAACGAACCGGCGGGGGCGAATCCTTCGCCCCGAAGCCTCCCACTACCAATTGGTCCCATCCCTCCTCCTCCCGCTTCCCCCCCATAAGATCATTTATCTCTCGTCATTGTTCGAGCCCAACACGCGCGCGCGCGACTCGTAGGAATTCGGTTCGGATTCGTGCGTGCACCGAAGGAGGCGGAGGCGGAGGCGGCCCAAGCGTCGGCGCCACCTCACTCTCCCACCCCCATCCCGCCGCCTCCCCCGATTCCTCCCCCAAACCCCTCCTCCTCCTCCGCCGCCGCTGCCGTCGCCATGGGTGGCCCCCTCACCGCCGCCGGAGGTCGAGGAGATGGGGGCGCCAAGGCGGTGGAACCGCTCCGGCCTCCGCCGCCGCCCGACCCGAAGACAATGGCCAGATGGTGAGGCCCGGGGGGTGTCCAGTGCGCGCCTGACGGATCGCGATTCGCCGTCCTCCCCTCCCCTTTGGATGCTAATGGTGGTGGTGGGGGTTTGTGATTGCGCGTGGCGTGCAGGTACCAGCTGGAGGCGCTGGAGCGGGCGGTGCGGGGGAACACCCTGGCGTTCCTGGAGACCGGGAGCGGGAAGACGCTCATCGCGGTGATGCTGCTCCGGGCGTACGCGCACCGCGTGCGGAGGCCGGACTCGCGCCGCTTCGCCGTCTTCCTCGTCCCCACCGTCGTCCTCGTGGGCCAGCAGGCGCGCGTCGTCGAGCAGCACACCGACCTCGTCGTCAAGCAGTTCTGCGGCGAGATGGGGGTCGACTTCTGGGACGCCGCCACCTGGCGATCCCAACTGGAGGACGGCGAGGTGCTCGTCATGACGCCGCAGATCCTGCTCGACAACCTCCGCCACAGCTTCTTCCGCCTCCAGGACATCGCGCTGCTCATCTTCGACGAGTGTCACCACGCCAGGGGCAATACACCGTACGCCTGCATTTTCAAGGTACAAAAGTTTACACCCGCCGCCGTATTGCGCCCTTTCGTATTTTCCCTTCACATTTATTGATCGGGTGGGGTTAGTAGTGGAGTAGCTCTCATTTTCTATTTTCGTCTCATCAACATAGGAACACCTATGCTCTAACTTACATACTAGTGCCAATATAATTGGAACATGCAGCGTTGGTTTTGCCACATTTACTATTTCAGTCAGAATCTTTGATGTCTCCCTTCCCCTGCTGATCTGTATCACCAATTTAGACAAATCATTCGACGCTTGCAGGAATTTTATCACCCCCAGTTGAATTCTAGTGCGTCAGACCCTCTGCCAAGGATATTTGGGATGTCTGCTTCGCTCATTTATTCAAAAGGTAAGGGCGAAACGATCATCCCTTATGTTTTATGCACAGGCTCTCTGATCATCTAATCTGTCACACTGTTCCTTCTATAGATTTGAATCAGCACAATTATTCAAAGCAAATTTCTGAGATTGAGAATCTCATGAATTCCAAGGTCAGGCCATGTAATTTTCAGTTAATTACGTGATCCCTGCAGTTACGATAATCATTCTTCCTAATTTAGTTACCTGTATGTGTCTTTGGGAAATAAGCATTGATGCATTTGTTGTTCAAGGTGTACACTGTTGATAGTGAATCAGCTTTGTCGGAGTACATACCATTTGCTTCTACAAAAATAGTGCACTTTGACGATTCCAACATTTCATCTGAGCTGCATGCCAATATTCTCAGTTGTTTGAATAGATTGACAAAAAAGGTACTATCATTCTTCTACATTTTGTTTGCCCTTTTGGTAAACAGTGCTTTCTATTGTTCAGTTACATGTTGCTTGCCGACAAGTTGCTTACTGTACTGCATGAAGTTGAGTGGTAAGACTAGGCATGGCGGCCAATTTGGGGTAAGATACAAGGGAGAGGTTGGCACTTTCGGCATGCCTACAGAAGGGAACAGAGATTGAGTTGGGGAGAAGTGTTAGAAACTTAGAATAAATGTGAAATGAGAGGAAGCCTAGTAAGGGTCTATTCTGGAGAGCTCCCAACTCCTATGTTGTTGCAGAATATAGTTTTGTAGGCTAAAACAAAGTGGTTTAAGTACCTACTTTTAGTCCAAAATGTAAAGAAGATGACTCACCTAAACACTCCTGTCTACCTACTTTTAGGTTCCAGCTTCAAGAATTTTGAAGCATAATATGCTGAGCTGGATTGAGCTCCAACTCTTGTATTTTTGTAAATATGGAGTTCTTAGGCTAAAATAAATTGGTCTATGCTGAAATGTAAACTAGATGGCGCACCAACACCCCAGTCTACCGCTAGCTTGACCTCTAACAATTTTATAGCCAGGATGCTCTGAAGCTCTGCCAAACAGGCCCAGATAGCCAAATGATATCCCCTGCATGCCAAAACGTGGGACCTATCAATGGCATCTTTCAGAATATAAATGAAGAATAAAAAAGTTAGGGTTTATTACAGTAGCACAGCCAGTGTTCTACAGAAGTATGTGAACTCTAAAATGCGGTTTAGGTCAAAAAGACAGTTTTTAGTGATGATTTATCAGTCTCAGAGACTGTTAAGCCTGTTGTTAGACTTCTTTTTTTAGTTAGAGCATGTGCCAGACCTTTAGTATTGCATGCCATGGACCTGTTATTCATGGCTTCTTGTGCTTGGGCTGAATATGACATTCAATATTTTAAGCAGGAGGTTTTTTTTTATTGAGATGCATTGACATTCTTTTTGTAATGCTTTAAGTAACTTCTTTTAACAAATCCTGTGTATATATGTTACCAGATACCAATGCAATTTTGTTTCATTCTCTTAGCATATAGAAGCTCTGGACAGAAAACTACATGGTTCATCTCTGGAAAACGCTAAGCAAAGGATATCAAAATTGCATCGTACATTTGTATATTGTTTATATAATCTAGGAGTATGGCTGGCAGCAAAGGTATGAATAAAGATTTCACTGCACATTTATAGTACTTTCTGGAATCCCAATTTATCTTTAACATTGTATTTTCAGGCTGCTGAGGTACAATCATACGAGGAAAACAGCCTATCCTTCTGGGGTGAAACATTGGATAAAAATGTTGAGGGCTTCATTAGAAACTACAGCGAAGAAGTACATAGAGAACTTTCATGTTTCTTGAAGAATGGTACATACTACACAGCTCTGGCTTTTACAAACATACCTTCTCTAGCATGTTGCGCTTTTTATGTTCTTTTCTTGGTTACCTGCATGACAGCATTTGCTTTCTGGAATTCTCAATTACCAAATAAAATGTTGTCTAGTCTGTTGTCTGCATGAATTGCTATCTGGATACTAGAAAAATGTTTATAATTTCACTTATGAATACTATGATATTTTTAACATAATTTCACTTATGATACATGCCATACTAACTGAATATTAAACCATAGATGGCATCCACTTGCCGAAATTCCAATTTATAGGTCATACCATGTTTATTTGATTCTTTGCTTTTTTTTTTCAGGTCATATTGGTGAAAAATTTCCAGCTGATTCGCAAGATGGGATATTGACACCCAAAGTTCATTGCCTTATTCGAACTCTTCTGCAGTACAGGTGCTAAAATACTCTTCTGATATTTTCTTTTGATAATATTTCACAGCCACATCCTTTGAGATTGCATTCATTTGGCTATTCTTATAGTAGTATTGGTAATATTTCTCATTCTCTCCCTTTGAGACTGCATCGACTAAATGGTACCAAAGGTTCTGTATAGGGTGGACGATAGTGGTGTATTCTTTCATTCTTTTTTAATCAACTTTTGAATTTTGTCTGCTGTGAGTTAATATCAAGTGATATGCATGGTTTTACATAATCAGAAAATAGGAAAAATCATGGATGACCAGTACAGAGAAAGAGCCATTAGCTTCTACAATATGCATGTGCCTTTTGTACATGCCCCATGGATTACATTTGAAAATCTGAATAAAAAAATAAAGAAGAGTTCCCAAGAAAAAAAGTTTATTTTTTCTGGGAGAACTAGCATATTTGCCCATCTCTTGTAACAAATCTCAGATAAACACGCATAAGTTGGCTTACTCAAATGCCAAAAAAAAATCCTCACATTTAAAATATTTAACTTGGATCAACTGACAACCACATACATATGAACAGAATTAAATCATCTATTTATTGGTTCAATAGAAGTACAAATGAGTAAAATGACACACGTCTATGCTGATTGTTTCACCAAAGGTTGATTGAAGGATTGGGGGTGTAGAGCACAACCCATCACCACCAACTCATATAAGTAGTACAGAAATGATACATTCCAGTACCACTATTATTTTCCTGCTGCATACAGTTTTTTCTTGAATTTCACCTTCTACTTCCATTCCCTATTACTGGCTTTTATAGGTTAGTTCTTAGATGGATATTGAAGTGTAAGTAAGTTCCATGGAATAGATAATCACATACCAGCCAGTGTGAAAAATGTGTTCTAAAGTTTTTTTTTTAGATAATGGAAGCTTTATTAATCTCAGTAAATTCTATCAAGTGATACAATTATTCTGAGAGCACCTCTGGCTTCTGCACCCAAAGAGTGCACACAGCCAACAAGAAAGAAACAAAACATAAACTCATCATCCAAAATAGCAGGGACAAAAAGAACTTCAGGAGCCCTCTAACCGTAGCCTAGAACGCCACCCATGCGCCGGGGTAGAAAACTCCATGGCCACTAGCTCCAAGTGTTGACAAGCCGCAATGATAGTACCCCGCAAATTGACCTTCTGAAGGATAGCCCATGAGCAGAGCCAATGTGTAATAAAAAAGATAACCTGCAAAGGGGAAGATATGTTTTTCCTTTCAAAAACCACATCATTTCTGCAAAGCCAAATAGACCAAATAGTGGTAGTTGCCCCTAATAAGACCAAAGATCTCAAATTGTGTGGTTGTCTTCTTATCCAATGCCCAAACATATGAGTTGTACTATTAGGTAAACTAATATTCGAAGCAAACTGGATTAAAGACCAAACCGCGCGGGCAAAACGACATTCAATAAGTAACTTGGTGATTGTAAGAGATGCTTATGCTTCTACTTTCTTGTACTAAAACTTTTTGTTCTTTTGATCATTCAATAAGTAACACCTCTCTCTCTCTCTCTCTCTCTCAGGCATATGCAAGACTTAAGATGCATTGTGTTTGTTCAGAGAGTTATCACAAGCATAGTATTAGAGCCCCTACTTTCATCTATTCATCAAATGTCTGGGTGGAATGTTAAGCACATGGCAGGAAGCCGTCCTGGTTTGCTATCTCAGAGCAGGAAAAATCATACAGAAATTGTTGAATCTTTTCGAAAAGGAAAGGTTCGATATTGGTACTTGTATTTTATGCTATAGGCATTCTGTTAAGTATGCTATAGGCATTCTGTTAAGTCATAGTATGATAGTTCTCTGATGAGAGAATGATGGTTATGCAGGTACATATAATTATTGCCACACAAATTTTGGAGGAGGGTTTAGATGTGCCAAGTTGTAACTTGGTAATTCGCTTTGATCCATCAGCAACAGTATGCAGCTTTATACAGTCCCGTGGTCGAGCTAGGATGGAAAACTCTGACTATCTTTTACTTGTCGGAAGGCACGTTTTCAATTTTGTTGCTTTGTTTGTTCTCTGTGCAAATTTGTTAACTGTTCCATCTTTAGTGAATTGTTTGTGTCTTCCATGGACTCTGTTCACTGTTTTCACATTTCATCAAAAGAGTTGCATGCACTGGATAAAAAAAAAAATCCCTGGTTAGTGCCAGGAAATTGTTAGTGGTTACCTATATTAGTGATTGCTTTTCCCATTTCATCAGTTGGTTTTTGTAGTGAATCAAATCATCCATAGTGGCACTAAATATTAACGTTGACTCTTAAATCCAAGCTGGATTATACTAGGGAGTAATAGCAGTTTATAAAGCTTTTTTTTATTATAAAATTGACTTATGGTTCCTGATGGTATTTTCCAGAACCAGAGGTAACTGGTGTATCATCCTGGTAATAAGTTTCAACTGAAATAATTGTTTGAATTTTTAGTATGGAACTGCCAAAATTCTCTTGGATGGTGGACCTGGTCAGATCCTATGACTATTGTAGGCACTTGCTGTGGATTTATCCGTCATCTTTCTGATTTTAGATGACACGATAACCTCCTTTTGTTGTCATCGTTACTTGACCTATTTTGCATTTTATTACTGTGCATTATACACGTTTCTGCATCAGGGGGGATGTGGAAGCTCATACTAATGCAAAGAAGTTTCTCGCAAGTGGGCAAATAATGCGGGAGGAATCTCTGAGATTGGGATCAATTTCTTGTCAACCACTTGAGAACACCTTGTGCGAGGATACCTATTACCGTGTCGAGTCAACTCCAGCGTTCGATATAGACAAGGCATCTGGCACATGCACTCTGCATCTTCCTAAGAGCAGTCCTGTGCAGACAGTTAATGTAGAAGGAGAAGGTTCTATTCTCAAGGAGACAGTTTGTCTTAAGGCCTGCCAAGAACTACATGCCATTGGTGCACTCACAGATTCTCTTTTACCAGAATTAGATGTTCCATGTGATGAAGAACCTGACATCGGTATGGTTATTCAGCTAAGCAGTTTAATTCAATTTGTTCCAGTTGTTGCAATTTATATATTTTATTCCAATTGATTATTCAGGGAGCAGTTTATTGTGCGAGTTATGATAATGCAGTAACACATAAGTAAAAGTATTTTACACGTGCTATCAAAATTTTAAACTCAATTTACACTTTGCAAGTAATTATTTACCATGTGTTTTAAGGAAAACTTGATGCATGGTGGGTAAGGTTATATCTGAAGGTACAATAGGAAATGTGTTTCGTGCATTACTGATTTATACTTGATAGTTTTCATGGACTTGATAATTTACTGGTCTAGTGGATACATACATGTCATGATGCCTGTCCCAAAACGAACGTAGTTTGTTCAAATTTACCTATTTTGTTTGCTAAATTTGATATCTTCACTAATCTTGAAAGTAAAAGATCTGTCGTAATTTTTGAAGTTGGCTTTTAAGTGTGATATATATTGGGGCTTTGCACTAATGTTGCCTTAATGTTTCTCATATAGTTGTTGAGAACAAAATTGAGCAGCCTTCTTACTTTCCAGAAGAATTTGTGGATAATTGGCGCTCCTTTTCTCGTCTTGGCATATATTATTGCTATAAGATCTCATTGGAAGGATGTCCCAAAACAGCTTCTCCAACTGACATACTGTTAGCTTTGAAGTGTGATTTGGGATCTGACTTTACTTCTAGCTCATTTAAATTGCCAGGTGGGCAAGACAATGCTAGTGTTACCATGAAATATGTTGGCATCATCCATCTCAATCAAGAACAGGTAAATTGTCAATTTATGTTCTCTAATTCTTTGATAACTAGGCTATTGTTGTTTAGACCATTTCATTGAGAATATATAACTTTTGTTTGTCCAGGTAATTATTGCTAGAAGATTTCAGACAACTATTCTTTCGTTTCTTATTGGTGATGACCATTTGGAGGTTAGCAATGGTATTAAATACTTCCATGAGATGCAAGTGCCTATTGGAGTAGTCTATCTACTTCTGCCTTTAGTTTCTGGCAGAATTGATTGGTGCAGTATGAAGTTCTCATCCTCACCAATATATGAAGCTAACAACAAACATATGACACATTGCCATTCTTGTAGAGATATTGATTTACTGCAGACAAAAGATGGTCCTTTCTGCAGGTGCATCCTTAAAAATTCCATTGTGTGTACCCCTCATAATAACATCTTTTATGTTATTAGTGGGTTTCTTGACTTAGATGCAAATTCCCGTTTGCCTCAACATGATGGGACTGTTGTTACCTACAAAGATTATTTTAAGACTAGGTATATGTTTTCCCTTTCGGTATTACTTCATGTTTATGTATCATACATGCTCCTGTAAGCTATGAATGCACACATCTACTTGTTTCCTGTGTTTCTCAGGCATGGTCTTACTTTGACTTTTGAAAATCAGCCGCTCTTGGCTGGCAGTAAACATGTGAAAGTGCGGAACTTCCTCCACAACTACTACTATAAAAAAGAAAAAGGTTTTTTTTTCTCTGGTTGCAGTAATATTACATAATGTTTTCTCCAGCTATCCTCCGTTTTGACTACATGTGTTGACTCAATTATCTGTAATAAAACCCTCGAAGTTACTAAGTTGGAAATTATGCAGAACATTTATAAACATGATTAGATAATGAATTTTAATATTTGTTGATGACAAAATTTTTAGGTGTTTTAGTTTCTACGAGTTACAGACCCTTCTGAACTTTCTGTACATCTAATTGAATTCTTAAATATGTAGCCCAAAATGTAAACTCTTGCTTGACATTGAATTTAAAATTTTCCAATATTTGAATGTAAAGTTTTCCAAATTTAATATCCTCAGCTGAATATGGTATATGTTTTAGCGCTACTTTTATGAAATTTAGATTTCATTCTACTGTGAGTACTTACTATGAGAGTGTACATCATACCAATAAGCTCTTCTGATATAAATATTGGCACTGCAGATTGTTTTAATTGTAGACATATTTTTTGCTACTATTAAATTTTCCTTTTTCTAGTTTAATAACCTTTTGGAGTACTTTTTAAATATATTTTGCTTCTCTATCATCTTTTCCTTAATCCTTCTTTATTTGGCCAGACACTATATTCGTTTTCAGGAGCAGTAAATTTACTTTTCATATTACTATCAAAATTGTAGTATATTAGCACAGAATGATGGGTTGCTTGTAGCTTAGCTTCTATAAAATTAGGCAGTGAGGTATTTGGGACTTGGAAGATTACATTTGACATACCCTGAGGTCATGTTCAATCGGACAGTTAAATCCCACACATATTGCTGGGCTTGATCATACATGTGTATTTTGCATCGCTATCAATGAGGCATGTTACAGTGGGTTATAGCTGAACTCTTAGACAATGGTCCAACTAATGTACTGCCTGTACTATCTTTACAGAGCTACATATGCATAAATCACTGATTTGGTCATCTTTTTTCCTTGTTTCAGAACCTGGTGATAGATATAGTGTTGAGTTGCCACCTGAACTCTGCAGAATTATCATGTCACCAGTGTCCGCCAATAATTTGCACATCTTCTCATATGTTCCTTCCATAATGTTCCGCATCCAGTGCATGCTTCTTTCTGTGAAATTAAAGGTCCAATTAGGCCCAACAGTGCAGCAGTTTGACGTACCGGTTTTGAAGGTTGATTTTCTCATCAATAGTTTCCTATTTATGAATTATTGAAGTACCTAGATCAACTAGATGTCGTCATATAAGAAAACTCATATTTCCCTTATTTTTTGAAGAATTTAAAATAAAAATGGATATAAGTGCATTCTTGGGCACACCAGTAGGTGTTGTAGGAAGAGTGATGACATTTGACAGTGAAAACTAAAGGTTCTGATTTTTTTAGTTGTTTAATGCAGCAACAGTGCCTTAGTAAGAATATGTTCAGCACTTCGAAGTGACTATCTATTAATGAGGCAAACATAAGTTTTGGTTCCTTCTACTTGCAAACATGACAGGTCTTAAGTCATGTATAATGCAAGATATTTCGGGGACACTTAGCAAAGAAATAATTCCTTTTGTTGCCATGTAGAAGTTGGTTATTTTTGTAGCAATTGATGAGGCAGTGGTACTTAATAACTTCTTATGCATATAAATACCTTCAATTAATGCGTAATGTAACTATATAAGCACATACAAAAAGCTGTCTGCATTATTCATTAACACTCCAATGGAGGTGCTTGATGGTGTGTTGTACTCTATAGAACCATGTATGGATTGATGGTCCTATATTGTAAAAATAAGATATAAGAATATTTGAATCCGTGGAGTATTTTATGGTTCTAATTAATATTTTGGATGCCCCACTGTTAACAATGTACATGTCAATCTGAATTTTCTTACTTGTTACCTGAATAAATTACTTCCCCTATGCATATTTCTTACATGTGTATTTCTCTGCATTTTTTTCATGAGTTGCAGATCCTGGAAGCATTAACAACAAAGAAATGCCAAGAAGAATTTTCACAGGAATCATTAGAAACACTTGGGGATTCTTTCCTCAAATATGTTACAACTCGGCACCTTTTTAGTGAATACAGGCTTCAACATGAAGGCATATTAACAAAAATGAAGAAAAACTTGATCTCCAATGCAGCTCTGTGCCAGCTGGCCTGCAGCAGTAATCTTGTGGTACTCTAGATCCTGTTGCTAACTGTATTTTTCTTATTGAGCTAGGCATGTAGAAATTTTTTTTATCGAACACGCAGGACAGCTGCATATCATTGCGTTAAAGAAGGGTAAAAGGACCTTAGAAACACACACCTACACACTACAGAACTGATTACATGCACATCCTTGCTAATTTTATGCAATATTAATAGTCCTACATCTCCCAGTATCTTTCATACCATGTCAGCCTATTTCAATTCTTTTGTGCAACTGCTATATCACAATTAGGCAATGTTCCACATATTTCCTTTTTAGGAAAATGGGAACTCTATTGTTGCATTGAATTGTTTGCCAAGTTGCCAATATAGACTATTGTAGGTGACCAAAACCTTGTGGTGCTGACCCTAAGTTAATACAAGGCTGTGGCTCAGACCATATTACTCCTTGTTGGGCCAACACCTAGCCCTCAGGTCACATGGCACCTGTAGTCAGATCTGAGGTTGGCTTGACGTGGTCTGCTTTCATGACCGTTGAAGCAGCGGTACTTTGCCTGGCAAGCAAGAATGGCGGGAAGAATGGTAGCATCTGCCTATCCTTGAAACGGATTCTATCTTCGGCGTGTGCAGTGAGATAGTAAATAGCTTTCTTTAATCCGCTCAACCGACTTGTAATCCTTTCAGCCAATCAATTTTAAAGGTCTAATTTTTGTTTCTGGTGCTATGTGGCTAGGGCTATGTCATGAAATAAAATAATGCTTTGCATACAAATTTGTTCATCACAAAATGAATTGTGTTATTTTTCAAGTACCATAAAATATTTCTATTCACCTTTTCATGTTTCAAAGAAGACTTATCTGTCTTTTATCACTGGTACTAGATGATACTCTTGCCCTTTATGTTTGGTTGGCAGGGTTACATTCATGCTGAGGAGTTTAATCCAAGAGATTGGATCATCCCTTGCTTGGACTATGATGAGCGTGGTAACAAAAAAATTTCCTTTCTGGCACCCAATGGTATGTACAGCCAAAGGAAAATGTCTATTAAAAGTAAGAGGATTGCGGATTCAGTTGAGGCCTTAATTGGGGCTTACCTCAGTACTGCTGGGGAAAAGGCAGCATTTCTTTTGATGAAATCATTAGGGATGAATATAGAATTTCACACTGAAATTCCAGTTGAAAGGAAAATTTCAATGAAAGCTGAAGAGTTCATTGATGTGAGGAGCTTAGAGGGAATGCTTGGTTACAAGTTCAATGATTCTTTATTATTGCTCGAAGCATTGACACATGGCTCATATCAGACTTCTGGCCCTACTTCATGCTATCAGGTTGATATAAAAGCATCTATCATCTCTATTTAGTATGTGTCACGGCTTTATTATGCCTTTTGATCTTTACTCAACAAAGTGCAAATGATTAAACAGTATTGCAACAACATTTTTTTTCTATGTTAGCAATCCTCTATATGTTTCATTTCCTTTTGAGTTTAACTTGCTGTAGAATTATCTGAAACCTGAAAACTGAAGGACTAGCCTCGCTCCTTCAGCGACTCGGGCGGCGCTTCCAGCCGCCGGCCCTACCCCACCTCCTTCCTTCCCACCCCTTGCCGCCGCTGGAGCTGGCTGCCGGAAACCGTGTGGCGGCGGGCCTCCTTTCCTTGGGCTCTCGCACGGACGATGGATGGCAGCTAGATCTAAGCGTGACGTTGGTTGCTACGGCAGCGGTGGGACGGCTTTGGATGGTAGCCAAAGCCGGCAGCGCTAGGAGAGGCTGCAACAGTGGCTGGCACCGGTTAGGCAGGATGCGGGGCTTCTGGGTTGGATCCGCCGGAACGCTGTGGTGATTGCTCGAGTGCAGTCGGCAGAGCAGCTGCATGGGCGTTTGGCGGTCGTCCTAGTCGCAAAAGTGGGCCGCGTGGGCGGTGGTTGAGGCTGTGTTCCTGGCTATTCAAGTTGGCATCAACGGCGACCGCAGCCCTGCCGCGGTGAGCGACTGGATCTGGTGCGTCCTCGCTAGGGGTAGGGATCCGAGCCACGGGGCGTGCTAGCATCCGAGCAGCGAGAGGACTCCTCCCAACCGCTTGGACGTTTTGGAGCTCCTTGTGGTGCATGGATGGTGGCAACAGGGTGGAGGTGCGAGGTACGACAACGACCAAAGCTGGGCATCTGCGATGATCAAGAAGCAGCTGGGTAGTGGTGACGGCGTGTCTTCCATTTTTGCCGGCCAAGCATCTTCCTCTTCTTGGAGCTCCTCCCCTTCTATGGCTGGAGACTGTAGTTTTGGTCATGGGGAGCTTTGATTGGAGGGTGGAAGTTGTGGCTATCATCAGGAGATGTCGATGGCGTGGCCGGAAACGGGGTAGTCCTATGAGCATGCCTGAGCTGTCGGGCTATGGCATGGGCATGGTTGCTAGAGGGATGGTGTGGTGATCCGGCGACTGCCATTGTGCTGCGGATTGGTTGTGTGGGCTGGATGGAGAATCAACTGGTGAAAACCTTGTTGAGCCATTGGCTGGTTGAATGACAGCGTCGCCTTTGGGCACTGTTCCCCTCCTTGGAGGCGCCGTTATGGTGTAGTTCCACCTAGCCCATACTGATCTCCAGGTGAAAACCTTGCTTCAGCTTACGCCGAGTGGTGGTGGCGTTTACACGTCACATCCTCCATGGGTGCGCTGCTGCTTTGGAGAACCTTCCTCATACTGCGGTGACCGTTGATGGCCTCATGCATCGGCTTGAAGCTCTGAAGGCTTAGGATTTTTGATGAGGCCTTTGCCTTTTTGTCTAGCTTCTTTTTTATCTGAATCAAACTTCTCAAGTAGCTGTTGTTAGTTTGGGATCTTTTTTGAGTTGAATGACAAGTTTGTGTCCCTTGCAGAGGCTCGAGTTTCTTGGAGATGCTATTTTGGATCATCTTTTCACTGAATATTACTACAGCAAATACCCTGACTGTACTCCAGAATTGTTGACAGATCTTAGATCTGCCTCTGTGAACAACAATTGTTACGCGCATGCAGCTGTTAAATCAGGATTAAACAAGCATATCCTTCACTCATCATCAGAACTGCATAGGAAGATGAGCTACTACCTTGGGCAGTCATTTACAGGTCCATCTTATGGCTGGGAAGCGGGCATTGGTCTACCAAAGGTGTGTATTCTCTACGGTGTAATTGGTGTAGGTGGCTATATTGCATATATTCTGAAAGTCTGATAGCAGAGTTTGTTTCTCTTTTTCTGCAAAAGAAAATGCACCTAGCTGGTATGGTAAAATTTGATCAGTTAATTTGTTTGTCTTTTATTTTAAATCTTATTAGTCATTACTCAGTATTCCTAGGTCTCTACCATTACCTCGGATACATTATAGTCTATGCCATATAGTGATGACATCAAAATTTAACCAGGCATCAGATCCATTATTTCTAGTTTGGATTAAAGAGTTGCTAGAGAATTTATAAAAAGAACTAAAGATAGTCTTAACTAGGTTCCGATGCATAGTGCATCACAGCATGACGACCACAAAATGTCTTTAGTCTGACTGTAAACTGGAATAGGAGAATTATATGTTTGGACTAACCTATTTTTGTGCACTTCTGTAATATTTTCCATCGAATAGCTTAAGCTGGATCTATTGCTTTACTTGCAAACAAACAGGTTCTCGGGGATGTGATTGAATCAATAGCTGGTGCAATTTATCTCGACAGCAAGTGTGACAAGGAGGTTGTTTGGAGAAGCATGAAGCGGCTATTGGAACCTCTTGCCACCCCCGAAACCATCGAGCCTGACCCGGTGAAAGGGCTGCAAGAATTTTGTGATCGTAGATCATTCAAAATAACCTACGAAAAAAACCATGTTGATGGAGTCTCATCGGTCATTGCTCGGGTGAAGGCTGGAGAGACTACATACTCCGCAACAAAATCAGGTCCCTGCAAGTTGGCGAAAAAGTTGGCATCAAAGGCTGTGCTTAAAGATCTGATTGCTGGTCACAAAGATACAGAGGCTGCTGCAGTATAGTGATGCTTAACTATTTAAGCGTGCAACAGTAGCTAACAATTGATATAGATAGTTGCGCACAATAGAAAAGTTTTGGTTGGATTCATACATGTAATTTGGAAATGCTCCTTTTTGTGTGCTCGCAAACGATGCGTGTGAACGGCCTCATGAATTCTGGTAGGTTTTCATGCTTCAAACTTACAAGTATCGCAATTTTGTAAATTACAAATACGGGCATAGCACACCTGCCCATGCCATGCAGTAGTTTTTTTTTCCTCGAAATAGTAGCATTAGTTGTATATTACTCATAGCATCAGATTGTACAGAAAGCATGCCAGCAAAAACGAAAAAATGTACAGACAGCATTTTGTTCGCATCAAGGGAAAACTTGTTTTAAGATGTTCTGTCTGATGATGAGCAAGCTGTTTGTTTGCTAGCGTCTATAGAATACTGTGTAAATTGTAACCACCCCAAAATATTGTATAGGTTTTGCTCCTTGCTTGCGTTGTCGATCATATAAGGTTCAATGCAAGACGGTTGATTTCACTGAAAAGGGGTTTCAAAGATCAAAAGAATAGCTACCAAAATTGCATAGCTCATAATCTCGTCAACAGTTGATCCAGTGCAAGGTAATTTCGTTCTGATTGCCTTTGGCAGTTGCTACACATCTTATATGTTTAATATATCTTTGCAAAAAGGTTACACCTGCAGAGCTGCAGCTACAAATTGTACAATATATACAAGCCCAAAATGATGAAGGTAAAGGGCAGCTTGGCTGGCTATACCGTTCGCTATATTGAATTGTCCTGTAGAAGAGGCAATGAATTTTGGGTGTTAGAACGAACGATAACATGTCTGACAGAATGAATTTTTAATTAAACTGTTCCATACATTGGAAGCATTTGATGTGGATGCGTCCTCGGAGTTCCTTGCTTCAGATTTCTCGTTGGAGTAACTGCCAAACAAGAAATGAAGAACTCTTGTTATAAGAAATGAAGAACTCTTTTTATCTTTCGCGATTTAATCAGGCTGCCGTAGTAATAAAGTGAAATTGACATGTTTGGGCTTACGTTGACAGTATTGTAACCCAGATTAACTCCACGCAGTCAACCCACAGAAGTCTTTGTTCAACAGGAACTAGGCCATATGTAACCAAGTGTGCAAAAGGCCACAACTTCCAGCCGGCCTATAATAATAATTGAAACCCAGCATAAGGTCTCTGTTAGCAGTAAAACACTGTAAAAACCGTTTTGAAATTAAGAAATAATTCAGTGATTATAGAAAGATTATGGATGGAATTATTAGAAGGGAAAATTGAATAATTATTTGAACATTAAAAAGTTCAAAATTTGAATGACTTCTCATAGCTTTGTTGTAATTTTATACTAGTTTAATTCAATAATAGTGGCTTCTAGACCTAAAACTTTGAGAAAATAGATGTGGCAAGAATAATTGGAGGACAAAATGTTAATATTAACCTAAAAAATTTACTTGTATACAGAGCAATGAATTCATCGAATCCCTTCAACAAATTAAGGATCATAGTACCAAAAACCATGACCACAGGCAATGGTTTTGCTGTCAAGAACACTGAAGACAACAAATCAACTGCACAACTACAGCTTTTTCATAAACTTTCAATTCTTAAAAAAAAAAGAAGAATATAGAATATGGGAACTCAATTAAGGCATTATTATAACAAAGGAAATATCAGTGCTTTCAGTAAGCATGGGCCAAAACGTGGATTTGAGCTCACTGGAAATAGTGGCCGGTGATTCCAAACGAAGGAACCCCAAGACCACGAAGTAGATACTGTTCCATATCGCAGACCAGGCCGTCTGATCGAACACAACCTTTGCGGGAACAACCCACCAATCCTTGAATGGAAACAGTGCCTGAGCCAAGAAAAACAGTTGGCTTCATATCATTCACCATATATGAACATGACACAAAGCTTTAGGCAGTAGAGCATGGAAGACCACGATGTTTACCTCGCAGAAATGGTAGTAGTAATGTGAAAGGGACCCGTGAAGCGTGAACCCGACGAGGCCAGACCGGAACATCCGAGCACGGTCGAACTCGAAGATCGGCTTGCCTTCGTAGCACTGCAAGCATCAACAGCAACAGAATCAGCAAATATGCAAGCGCAGCTGCATAAAAGCTATTACTCTAAATAAGAGGAAAATTAAAGCGTTTGCACACCTGCGCAATCCAGTCGCCGAGGAGCACCGGGTTGGTCTTGAGGGCCTCCTCGTAAGCCGACCAGTTGTGCTCGGGCATGTACCGCAAGATCTCAAAGATCGTCCATCCCTGCACCCAATCCAATCATGAACAACAGCCCGCCCGGAACGATGTTAGCTTCGAATCGAATCAAATCAAGAACAGCACAGAGAAGAGAAGACAAAATGGAACAAAACGATTTGGGGGGAATCGACAAAGGTTCCCGTACATGCCAGTAGTCGTGGTCGACGGTGAGGAGCTTGGTGAGGGCGTAGGTGCTGGCGCCGAGCACGATGGCCGTGTTGATGCCGCGGTCGAGCATCTTGTTGCCGTCCCCGCCGCCGGCCCCGGCGCCCCCGCTCCCGCCGGCGAACCCTCCTCCGCCCATGTCGCCCTGGAAGGCGAGCCCGCCGATGTCGACCTGGCTGCCCCCGATCGGCCCCTCGGGCTGCTCCTCCAGCCTCCCGCCCGCCGCCATCTCCCCCTCGGCCCCAGGCCCGGGGAGCACGTCGGCCTCCTCCGCCGCCGCCGCCGCGGCGCGCAGCCGTAGCCTCCGCGACGACCTGGTCAGGCGGAGCAGCGACGGCGCCGAGCACGACGGGGGCGGGTGGTGGCCGCGGAGGAGGCGGGGGAGGGGGAGGGGGATGCCTCGTGGTTTTTTAACCGCGGCGCTTGTGGATGCGAGGGCGTGGACGTGAGCGCGCCGCGAGATCGTGTGCTCGCCTGAGAATCTCGCGTCCCAACTCCAATTTTCTCCCAGGATGGATGGGTGGATTGGATATATTATTGTGGATGGGGTGGGCGTGTGGAACTCGGGCGACGGCTTCACGTCGTCTCAGGCGGCTGGGCCAGTGCGGCACGGGAGTGAAGCGCCCCGGAGCGGGGGACGGAGATTCCGGTGGTGCCCAGGTGTGCATCTGCGGGATATTTCTTCTCCGTCTCATAAAATGAATGTTATTTAGAATAAAATTGGTGATTGTTAAATCTTGAATTTTCTTTCTGTAGATGAATCCAGTCACTGTTCCACCATCAGCCTGCCAGCCAGCGGACTGATTCCAATCATTATATGCATAATATCCATGCTTATATTTCCTAAAACGTCCACGTTAATCGAATAAAATTGAGTAAATCTGGCCATTTGTCCAAGGAGACCAAGGCTGCGTTCAAATGTCTCCTTTCTCAACTTCTGCTCTCAAGTTTTTGGCTGTACACTTTCCAGCTAAACGATGTGTTTTTATACATCTTTTAGGAAATTTGTTTTGAAAAATTATATTTAAGTTGTTTTAATACAATTAATCATGTGCTAACAACCTATCTCATTTTTCATGTTGGAGAAATATGTTCCGAACCGACACATTCGAACACAACATAAAAATAAATGAAGATTCCATCTCACACTATCAGTAATGTAAATATTGAACATGAAAAAGAAAATCCAAACTCTAGTAAATGGTAACTACCCCTTCATCCAAGAAAAAACAAACTTCTTAAAATGAATCATTTGTTAAAATCATATCCTAGAAACTTTTTTTATGTATATATTGGTTCTAACATCATCTGTTCAAAAATATAAACACTTATCACATTTTAAATTTATCAAATATAAACAATTCTAATACTGTTCGGATTACTATTTATTCCATCAATCATCTATCATTTAAATTTCTTCCCAGCTTACCTTTAAATACCCTCTCACCCCAACCATTCATGAGGGGCATCAAAGTATTTTGTATTAAACCTTAATTTCTATTAAACAAATTAGACATGCTTGTATTTTGAAATAGAGGGAGTATTTTAAAAACAGCCAATAAAACAATAATAGTTATTAAGACTCCACATGACAATCTTGTATTGAGTAATTCCAAAAAAATCAAATCCACAAAATATAATATAATAAAAAACATTAAGATATATTTTGTGTGTAACTTAGAAGCAAAGTACATACGTCTAAGAATTCTAATTTTCATATTTATTAATAAGCTTAAATTCAATTTATTCCAAACTTCTGAATACTAAACTAGTGATTAGAAGTGCGAAAAGTTCTTTTGCACGATAACAAGTATGGAAATGAGAACTGTTCAATACTCCCTCTGTCAAAAAAAAAAAGACAAACTTAGGTTTCCGTATCAAACGTTTGACCGTCCGTCTTATTTGAAAAAAAATATGAAAAAAAATTAAAAAAACAAGTCACGCATAAAGTATTAATCATGTTTTATCATCTAACAATAATAAAAATACTAATTATAAAATAATTTCATATAAGACGAACAGTCAAACGTTGGACACGAAAACCCAGGGTTTGTCTTTTTTTAGAACGGAGAGAATATTGAACTAGTCAAAGAGGGCACAAAGACGTACTTAGACTTGGGTAAGCTGTCACAAACGCGTGTCATGCATACAAGCGCCGGCTTTTGCCAAGGAGAGAGTCGCGGCGCGAAAAAACCTGTATATCTTATAGGTACTGGGTTTAACTTCCATGGTAGCAAATTTTCTAGATTTATCGGAGTTGTGCTTTTAGTGGTAGGCGACGTACCCGTCAATAGCGAGATGTCTGTAGTGACTTCGTCAATCTTAAGGATTTGATGGTCTAGTCTTCAAAGATATTCATAGGGGTAGGTTTTGCGTGCGTGTGTTTATAAAGGTGAGTGCGCGTGTGTTGTTGTAGTTGTGTAATTTTTTTTTAAAAAAAAGGAGAGAGTCGCGGCCTGGCAGGTAGTACATGTGTACCGCACTTAGTAGTACTAGTACTTCACAGTTGGCTCCCCTCCGATCCACTCGTTGTCGCGGCGGGCGATTTCACTGCTTTGCTCGCGTGTACGTGGACGAGGCTGCACGTCGTGTCCCGGCCAAGTAAACGCATTCCCATTCCCTCTCTCTCTCTCTCCCCCCCGGATTTGACCGCGCCCATGGATGGAGTTTCATCGCTGCACAGTGCACACTGGCCCTGGCCGGCATTACTGAAATCGACAGGCTACTCCGGCGCTCCCACAAATTAAACCCAAGTCACAATGGATTTGTATAATCTTCCTTCTGCCTTCCATTTTGGGCTTCCATTTGCTTCTTTTGGCTGTTCCGTTCGCCTAAATAGACGAGGACGTAAGCATATGGCACACACGTACCACACGTTGGCAACTTCAAGCAATAAATCCATACTAACGGTATTTAGATGTCACCTACGTCTTAAAATATAATAACCTAAATTTGAATGAAACATTTTCTATAGATACATATTCATAGCAATAGGAAATATATCATTCGGTACTAGATTTTTATATTTTAAGATAGAGGAAGTAGCATAACTAAGTTTGATTTTACAAGGAAGACAACAGTTCAGTTGAATTATCGAGAGATAGAAGTATAATTAATTCACTTGAGCACGTTAACCCTTGTGTTTTTCCCAGGCCGTTAAGACCAAGCTAGATTTTACACCTACCTCTCACCCCTATCGATCCATAGCTATGCTCCATTCCTTCACCACTGGCCATCCTTCGTAGGCACGTGGCCACTGCTGCACCGACACCCCCCGTCAGTCAGTCTCAGCATGCCTAGTGGCACACACCACCATCATTGGACTCCCTGTCATCACTGTGTTGACCTCCATGCCATCAGTCAGGCTAGCTTCTTTGCCGTTGGCGCGTGCGTCGACCTTCACGCCATCAGTCAGGCTGGCTTCTTTGTCGTTGTCGCGCCAACCTCCCGATGCCGTCCATGCCAGCCTTCTGCTACCGCTGGTGCCACCCGCATCGACCTGCCTGCATCGACCTCTTGCATCGCCACGCCGCGTTGGACTTCCATAGTCCTACCACCATCGGGTGGGCCTCCTAGCATCACCACGCCAGCCTACCGCCGCCACTGGCCACTCCTAGCCGGTGCCCCACTTCCTCCCTTCTCCACCGATGGCACCGCGCGGGCATGCCCTCCATCGATGGCGTGTCGTCGCGTCCTTCCTACCTCACCCTGCCACCTCCACGTCCGCGTCGTCACCTCTCCGCTGGCGGTGGCTTGAGGGTCAGCCTCCAGCGCCGGACAAGCCAGATCCGAACGAGAGGGGGCTAGATTTGGCAACCGCACCCCGCGGCCTCCACTATCGCCTCTAGATCTGGTATGAATGTATTTCTTGCATATACCTATCTCTAGCAAATTTTTCTTGAATTTAGAGAATATGTAAGTATGGCTTTCATGGGTTTTCATTTATTTGATGATTTCCACTAAATATTTCCTTGTGTTATGCAAAATCTCTAAACAACTCAATGTGCCCCAAGTGCTCTTCACATTAAATGTATCTTTCATATGACGGACGATCATTTTTAGCACATCCATTCTTCTATGTGTCCTTTTTAGTCGCAACTGACAAATAAAACGTGTCCGAAAAAGGAGTCAATACTCTGCGATTTTGAGACATACATGCAATTCCAGTGTTCTGTTTGCTTGTTCAAATTATTGGAACCTTCGGCAGGCTTCTTTTCAAGTGAAAACTATGATGGACCTAACTAGCATTTGCCGGGTGCTGCCTGGAGTGGAGTATTTCAGAGACGCAAATGATTTTTCAGAAAGGTTAGGCCTACACCTGCACCGATCGAGATGATTTTGGAACGTAGTTCATGCAATGAGGGAACGAGAATTGCATTACTCGCTGCTCTGTATTTGCATGTACCAACGAGGGTCCAAAGAAAGCAAGAACTCATGCCGCCGAACTTTACTCGCAGAGAGAGATTTACCAATACTATTCCCTCCATCTACTTTTGATAGTCATATTTTATCTTGACACAATGACCAAGGAAAAATAATTCTACTTATCATCCATTTAAACATGCTACTAATTATTCCTCGTAAACAAGCGATTCATTAATATTTACATTTCTCGATGCCCATGTAGCCAATCTTGTGTGGAAGAATGGAGAGTCACGCATTAAATCATAGAAAGTCATTAAGAGGATAGATGATTGAATTGAAATATGGCTATCAAAAGTAAATTTTTCAGATTTGGAAATATGTCTATCAAAAGTAGATGGAGGGAGTACTATTTTAGTTGGGTTGTTTAAATAGCTCAACTCGGAATGCCTTTATATTAGATCAACCACATGGTACGACAATGGATGGGGCTGTTGAAGAAGTCCCCACACTTGAAGCATTGACGATGGATGGAAGCCACGGCCAAGTCTGAAACTGTCCCATTTTGATTTGACGGTGTATAAGCGTAATGGACTGTTTGGTTGAGTATTTCTATTTATGCAAGGTTGACACAATGTTTTGACCAACTTGCCTAATGTGTGGCTAACAAAATTGGAGCCACACTTTAGCTAGAATGAGACACTCTTGTCACACTCTTTTATCTCAATGACATGTGAGGTCTACATGATGGATAAGGAATCTCGTCACAAGTGTGGTTATGAACCAAAACAAGCATCGAAATCTCAGTCTAAAGAGCGACATAGATATTGAATGAGGAGAACAGTGCAAGACGAGAAATACATTTTGTGAAATCAATTGAAACTAGGGCAAATCGGTCCCTTTGACAAACCAAGGAGAACCTCCATTCCGTGGTGCATGTCTGGAGCATGGAAGCTGTCAGAATCTTGGGGCACTGCAACATGATCCAAAGTAAAAAGAAAATTAACACAAGGCTAAGTAACATTTCCAACAACAGGAAGAACACTCAGCGAGTGTAAATAAGAAAAAAAAAATGTTCCCAGGGCAGAAGTGGGACTGAAATATATATAGTCTATAGAGGCTGTATTTCTGGTGATACATCTCATCACTGAAAATGGTGATGAGATGTATGTTTTGCCATGCAAAGTAAGGCCAACCAAGCTTGGATGACAAAGCAAAATATGTACTTTGCTGTTAATATATCATATCATGAGGACAGAATAAAATAACCACTTTGTGATAATTATTATACATTCCTCCAAGTATATCCTAATAGCAAAATTTTATCAAGATGTACCGACTAGAAGTATGAAAAATGAAAAACAAGTATCATTTCATGACCCTTGGTTTCCCAAGAACTTCTAAACTCCCAAGGAATCATAAGACTACATGGTTTTGGTCTACTAAAATAAAAAAACTAGAATTAATATAAAGGTAATGAGAACTTGATAGCACTGGATTCCATAATTCCAATGAAGAACATAAGCATCAAACATGCAGCTAATAAATCAGCAAAAGTTGGTGAGCAAATAGTTGCACGTAAATGTGAAAGGCCAGCAAGAAGATTCATAGGAAATCAAAGGACAACAAGCCTTACAGTTGAGATAATCTTCAAACCCGAAATCATCCAAGGAACCAGTCAGCGCCTCGTATCCTAGCATAGATGATGGCAATGCACCAGGGGGCCTTTGGAACCTGCAAACAGATAAATCATCAACCAAAACATCTTTAATGTTAGCCTGGGCATGAGTTGCGCACGCTGTTTTTCCCTTATTTGCACAGTTGCGCTGATGTGCTAGTTGTTAGTTGTTACTACATCGGAGAGACGGAGAGACAAACAAGAGCAACCTCAAGATATGATTGTGTATTCACCAGACCAAGGAATCCAGACATTCCATCCATGTTAGCATACTCAAAGCATTAATACATTCTTAGCAGTCCTAATATTTGATTTGTGGAAATGCTCTTGAAGAAACAGGACCTAATTAAACACCTTAAAAACAGTGCTCAAAATACTGCACATAGCCACGAGAACAAATTTCAGAAATAACTTGCAAACTACTACCTCCATTCCAAAATATACGGCACAACTACTTTTTTTCACGTTTCATAATACAAGGTGTGCATGCATGCATTGAAATTAGGACCCCCATCGTTTCGCTTATTGACAGAATAAGTGAAACGGCATATTTGTAAACAGAAAATAATTTGCAAATAAATTTTTTATATCCGTGTTTTTAGCGATCTAAAAGACAAAGGCTGGAAAATAAACTATGATGAAAAAACCCCAAAATCAATTCCAAATTTAAGGTTGAAAATTCAATTTTTGGCTTATAAACATAAGCATAAGCCAAAAGATGAGGCTGTTAACTAGCACCTCCTCTCCACTAAATTATTATTTCTTAAATCCTTCACCCTCAAGATCTCTAATTCTATAGGGTGCATGCATTAGTATTTATTATGATGATTCAAACAATGAGGTGATTATTGTTTTTTGGTCTTTAGGTTAAAGGTGGTTGTGACTTATATTTTAGAATGGAGGGAGTAACAGTTAGCAGAATACCGCTGATGACCACAAAACATAACATCACTGACACTTGATGCATACGACAATAAGAGCAAAATAGTTGCAGTAAATGCAAAGAGCTAACGGATTTACAACTAGACACACAAAATAGGGGTGGATCCAACGTTATAGCAGTGGTGTCACATGATACCAATGGCTTTGGCCTGTTCCAAGTGCTCTATTCTATTCTCTCATGGGTGACACCAGAGAACCTTGTCTTTTGACACCAATACTCAGACATAATTGGTCCATTATTTGCTCTCTTGCTCAACCCATAAACAACATCCGAGTACCCGACACAACAGCAGCTAACATGCCTGTTATCGCAACCTGAAACTAACTTGTTTGTTGGTTTGTCTCTTTGCCTTGTACTGTCCTCGGGTAGACGCACAAACACAGCAAGTGCGATGGCTGGTGTCTCATGAGAAGCAACAATGAGCCAGCGAGCGATCGGGTGAGATTATTTTCCCTAACCCACGAAATCCCCTAATTTCCTGTTTGATTTGCATGCTAATGATTACGCAACATCTGGTTGTTTGGGGTTTTTCATTTGTACATATTTAATTTGATCCTTCGAGACCTTGAGTTTATTTTTTAATTGAAGCCTACAGAAAATTATGTAAATGCGAGGTTTTTTTTTATGTACTGCGAGGGTTATCTAACAGACAAACACAGGGGGAATACATGCCATCATCAAATTCAAAGAAACATATCTCGTCCCACAATAAGGCCATTTGAGTTTGAGGAATTCCACCCAAAATTGTCATTGACCCTAACAATTCCAATATATGCTATGTAATACCGACACAGTTATCTAATGTTAACATGAACCGCAAGTGATTATTTACTCGAACAAATCGTTTTCCCAGCGAAATCATATGGGGGGATAGGATAGTGAAATTACTTGGAGAGGATTTGGGCATCGAGATCCTTGCGGATGTTGAAAGCGGATCCGTAGATGGCTTCCGCCCCGAACCTCTTCTTATCCGCCCAGAACTTGGCCTCCTGCGCGCGGGCAAGCCCCACCACCAATCACCCGGATTCAGCGCGTTAGGGTTTTCGAGGGGGCGAGGAGAGGGGAAGCAGCGACGGGTACCTTGTGGACGGTGGCCTGGATCGGGTGCTGCGGCGCGAGGTCGCCCTTGACGCTGTTGTTGAAGCCGAAGCGGAGCACGTCGTGGTTCTCGCCGACCTCCTTCTTCACGATGCTGCCGCTCGCCATCGTCGCCAAGCTCTTCCTCTTCTTGTGCTTCTTTGGGGAGAAGAAAGGGGCGCGATTGACTTGTGGTGGGCCAAATAAAAACAAAACGAAAATCAAAGGACCGAACCTAAATATCGGTTTTTTTTCTTCGGTGTTCGATTCGGTTTATCTTGGACCCCTTTTTATTAGCCTAGTTGTACAATGCACCAGGGATTTACCAATCTTTTCACTTAACACCATCTAACTTTATCAAAATATAGCAGTTTGGACCAGGGGCAGTGCGTTAGTACTGCTTGAGTTGCTATCACTATCATCATGAATAGCATTTTGGGCCATCGATGGGAGGAGGATGTGGTGAGCACAAGGGGATAAGTGCTTGATTAATGCCAATAGCTCCTAGTCCTATCCGAGGGGAGTTTAGCAGCAACGCACAGCTGATTCGCACTGCGGCGCACTTCTCCGTTCAGCCGACGGCAGGTTAGCTCTAGGCCATGAGGGCCATTTTGGCTTGCTAGATCACGTCCCTCTCAGCTGCCGTGTTGTCGAGATGCACTACGCCAGCCGTCGACGAGGGCGAGGCCGGCGAGCTCATGGCGGATCGGCGACAACAGCGAGGCGAGGCAAGGGAATCGATTCAAATAGCAACTAGTAATTTGTTGATGCTTACATTAGGGACAGAGGCAACACAAATGCATGGTTTGAGTTGTTCTAATTTTAATGATGTTGCATCAATTTTTGTTGCTTCAGTGAACGGAAGCCATGTTCCATTGCCCATTTGGTTGTAGGTGTAACTTGGCTGGCCGGCTGGGATTGTGGAGCATGGAGCAACCAAGCTAATGTGTTGTGATCAAATCAAATAAGCGCATCAGTAACCGCCGCTGCCGCCAACGCTTGTTCGGATGGGCACGTTGGTGATGGGTTATCGCCTGTTGGACTCGGAGAAGATGAGCGGCTATGGTCCAGGATGAAACAAATGGTTATATTAAGTGATCCAAGGTGAAAAACTCAGCTAAAACCTAGCCCAAGCTGCAACATGGGTAAAAATACATGGCCCAAAATAAAATTTACTCACATAAAAAGAAAAAAAAATTCAATTGTAAATGGAATCAACTTATGATAGTATGAAATGTTTTATCCCTCGATGTGTCTCAACTTAATAAATTGATTTATTTCTCACAATTCTTCTGGTTTTTGATTCTATTTATAGAATTGTCCGGCCAAAAACGAGGAAGAGCCTCTACTGTCGTAGATGCCTCGTCGAGTGCTCCCACTCTACCTAATTCAGAAGATAGTAATAAGCGGAAAAAAAATGGGACGCCAACAGGCCGATGAACTCAAGCTAAAAGAAGACTTTCGCGGAAGTCTCGAAAATGCTTCGTTTAGTGAATTGATTGTGAATGGATGGTGCAAATTTTTGTACTCTAATGCAAAGGATCCCAATCCTTCCCCATGAACTTATCTCATTCTAGGCCTACATATTATTCTTATAGTTTTACCTACTAAAGTAGTTGAACTCTACTCCCTCCAACTCCCTCCGTCTCAATACAAGTGAAACCTTACCTTGTACAAATATGGTATATTCTATAGTTATAAATCTGAGCATACAGTCACATCAATACAAAGTTATATTTATATTAGGATTGAGAGAGTATTGTACTTCATCAACATATTAAATTGTAAAACGATGGGCTGCTCAAGATATATATATACGAGCAATTGTACGACGTAGTATAAACACACGCTTCTACATATTGGCAGTATCTGATCTACTGGCACAACTGCTGGGCTGACAATGGCCAGCTAGTTAACTTATCCAGTTTTTAACGTTGATGAAGGTCATCATTGAATTTGACTTGTTAATACTTAACCCTCGCACGATAGAGCGCCCTGATTACTCATTACACGTTTAATGTCTTGAAAAGTGAACGTCAACTCATTGTTCTGGACAGCGACAACTGTTCATTCCTATACACACTTGCCAACACATTAAACCTAGACTTTGGATGATAGCACAAGTCCCGGTCCGTGCTGCCATCTCCAGCCGTTCGGCCCACGGATTTGCCACGCTCATTTCTGTCATTGTTACGTAGGAGTACTTACGGTGTTACCAACACCACAGATTGGTGGATGCCTCCAGTGGGTCTCTGCTGTTCCCACCTCCAAAACCGAGTGGTCGTCTCCGCTTTCGTGTGCAGCCCGTGGCAACTTGCACTCTGTTTTCGCGCGGAAACAGAGGCATGACGCGCCGCATAGTTGAGGAGAAAACCGCCAGCCCAGCTCAGCGAGACAGAAGGAGTGAGAGCTTACAAACGGACTTCTGTGTCATCAAATTTTTCATGAAAAAGGTATCAGCGTGTATTTATATTGTAATGGCAACAACAATGTATATATCAAAATAATCCATATAGATAGGACAGAGACAAATAATACTCCCTCTGTACTCATAAAGGAAGTCGTTTTGGACAGCGACACAGTCTCCAAAATACAACTTTGACTTCTTGTTTCTATAAAAATATTTATTAAAAAGTGATATATGTATACTTTTATGAAAGTATGTTTTAAGACAAATCTATTCATATATTTTTTACATTTTTAAACTCAACAACTTGAGAGTTATTCATGATTTATATTCCCAATGTTTGACTTAAACATTATCCTAAACGACTTCCTTTACGAGTATGGAAGGTAGCCCATATGCTTATATGCTTATGGGTAGTTTTTGTTATTTCTTTGCTATGGACTAGTTCCACAATATTGCTAGGTGGCTGAAACAAATATTGTATTGCTTATGGACCACTTTTAGACTATATTGTGGATGCCCTAAGAAGCTAAATTACATATATATTATTTCCGTTTTTTAATAGAAGACGCCGCTGACTTTTTGCCATACATTTATCATTCGTCTTAATAAAAAAATTACGTAATTATAATTTATTATGTTGCGAGTTATTTTATCATTGAAAGTATTTTAAACATTATTTATATCTTATACATTTGCATAAAATTTTTAATAAGACGAATTGATTAAACATATCTTCAAAAGTCAACGATGTGATCTATTAAAAACATAGTTAGTATGTAATTACACTATATTTATACTATAATTACATTTAACATATTTTTACCTAAAAATCTCTCGCCATAACCCATTATAAAAGCCTCCGTTTCGCGCGCACCGAGCCGTGCACACGCACAACCGCAGACGGGGTGATGTGGGCGCGTTTCCGGTATTCCCAACCGGCCGAGATGGCACGGCCGGCAGCGTTCGTACCCCCACCGCCTCAGTATGTACCCCCTGAAGAGCCTTCAGCTTTCGCGAGGCTCTATGACGTGGTGGATCGCGCCAAGGCCGCCCTGGTGACCATCACCGGTGGACCGACGACGGTGCATGGTGTCGTCGTCATCTCCTCCGGCCACGGGCAGAGAGCACGCCGTGCCGTGACCGAGATCATCACGACGGCCCCGGCGTCCGACCCGGCACCCGCGGCACCCCAGACGGGCTCGCCCTCGTTCTTGAATTCCGTGGCCGTCAAAGTGGCCGCTGGGGTTGTCGGTCTGGTTTTGGGCTTGTACGTGCTCGCGCTCTGGATCCGGCGATGGAGGCGGCGGCGGCGGCGGCAACAGGCCCAGCCGCTTCCGCTACCACCGCCAATGTTATACAACCCCAACCCCTACTACAAAGGTGCGCGCATCTTGTGATTCTTGTCACGTTCGACGTCGTGTACGTACGTACGTCCATGTCGTCGTCGTCGTCGGAGATATCCACCACACTTTGGTGCTTGCAGGTGACCAGCCGCCGCTGCCATTCGTCTTCATGCAGCAGCAGCACCACCACCCGACGGCGCCGCAGACCAGCGGCGGCACGTTCTCCGACGCCGGCTCCGAGCGCCCGCACTCCATCTCCATCGACGGCGGCTCGCTCTCGTACGACCAGCTGGCCGCCGCGACGGGCGGGTTCTCCCCCGACAACGTCATCGGGCAGGGCGGATTCGGGTGCGTGTACAGGGGGAGGCTGCAGGACGGCACCGAGGTGGCGATCAAGAAGCTCAAGACGGAGAGCAAGCAGGGCGACCGCGAGTTCCGCGCCGAGGCGGACATCATCACACGCGTGCACCACAGGAACCTCGTCTCCCTCGTCGGATACTGCATCTCCGGCAACGACAGGCTGCTGGTTTACGAGTTCGTCCCCAACAAGACGCTCGACACGCATTTACACGGTATAAAACCTATGTCTACATCTAAAATGAATAAAAAAAATAATGGTTTACATATTTGTTTTTTCTTCTGTCAAATGCATCCGTTGACTGTTTAGTCAATGTTTTTTTAGTCTTGGTTTTTTACTCTGATCTGATCATGTTACTGTTGAACTTAATTCAGGGGACAAGTGGCCACCTCTGGATTGGCAGCAAAGATGGAAAATTGCTGTGGGATCTGCAAGGGGTTTGGCCTATCTACACGATGACTGTTAGTTCTACTCCACCCATCCATTTCGCGTTATACACTTATATTCAGTTTCGTATCTAGTGTTGAACTGTGATTTAATACGAAAAAGTCCGTTTATACTATTCAGGTTCTCCTAAAATTATACATCGTGATGTCAAGGCATCCAATATTCTTCTGGATCATGGTTTTGAGCCCAAGGTACTCTCTCTGCACATATTATTCAACGTTTCAAGAAGATCTGGTTTTCCCAGGACAAGTTTTTTTTTTGAAGCAATCCCAGGACAAGTTTGAATTGCAAACAATATGCCATTATATTGCACAGTCCTATACTCAGTATGTCTTGATCCTTTGCAGGTTGCAGATTTTGGTCTAGCAAAGTAGCAACCAGGAAACCACACCCATGTTTCCACAAGAATAATGGGCACATTTGGGTCAGTACTTCTCTTCAGCATTCCCTATGTATTCCGAGTTTGTTCATTCTAATTTCTGAACATGAATATCTATAGCACAAGTATATATTATCCCTCATTGTATTCATAGCAAATCCTCTTTTCTGCAGGTACATTGCTCCAGAGTTCCTGTCTAGCGGGAAGCTTACTGACAAAGCCGATGTCTTTGCTTTTGGTGTCGTCCTCTTGGAACTGATAACTGGAAGGCTGCCGGTTCAGTCATCTGAGTCTTACATGGACAGCACGTTAGTTGGTTGGGTCAGTTTCTAACAAAAAGAAGTTCTTGAATCTTGACAAAATTCATTCCTTGACATCTAATACATTTCCTTCACTCCAATAAATGTAGTTCTAAGAGGAACTTTGATGTCTAGCCTGATAGAACATTTCTGAATTTGCTTCTTCAGGCAAAACCCTTGATTTCAGAAGCTATGGAGGAAGGCAACTTTGATATCCTTGTTGATCCGGATATTGGAGATGATTATGATGAAAACAAAATGATGCGAATGATGGAGTGTGCCGCCGCTGCCGTGCGCCAATCAGCACATCTGCGTCCATCCATGGTTCAGGTTCGTTTCCTTCCCTGAAAAGTTTTGAGTTTGAAACACCGAAACTGCTAAACCTTCAGTACAACTGTACAAGTAGTGGTAGTGCCTTGTTCCAGAATAAAATAGAACAATAACTACATAACCAAATAACTGATATTTGATACTCCTATATGTGACAAGAAGTTCCTTTTCTCCTTTCAGATCCTGAAGCACTTGCAAGGACAAACGCATGGAGAAGATCTAAACTCTATATTTAGGACTACGTACGCAGAAGATACCTACAGTTCCATCATGGAATCGGGTGAGTCCATCGGGCCACGATCAAGAAGAGCGCCGGGGAGTCAGGGAAACACTAGCAGCGATTACAGCAGCGATCGACCAAGCTCTTACAGACAAAGCCAACCGAAGCCTCGCTAAAGGCAGGTGAACTGAAGATGTTGTTTAATTAGGTTTTTTTCTTTATTATTATTATTATTTGGAGATTGAACAGATGTTGCTGGTGAAGAAGACATGAATAGAATGGTTGTGTTGTGAATTTAGATACTTTTTTGTATCCTCCGAAGTCCGAACTGGCCAACGCTCCAGGCTAACTCTCTCTGACCAGCATCCCACGGTTCATCCGGAGGAAGCTTGATACTTTCTCCGTTTCACAATGTAAGTCATTCTAACATTTTTCACATTCATATTGATGTTAATGAATCTAAATAGAGATATATATATATATATATATGTCTAGATTCTTTAACATTAATATGAATGTAGAAAATGCTAAAATGACTTACATTGTAAAACGGAGAGAGTAGTAGAGACCGGACCGCTATCGATCATAGCGGCCGGACTCCCGAGTCTGGAGACCTTATGTGAAAATTTCTGATCATTACAGGCTTACCGCGTTCTGATCTTTTCACAAAACAACCGAATAACTACCGATAAGTAGTGTAAATATAAAACAATCGTTATATGAAAAAATAGACGTATGAAATTTCTCCACATTATCGTGAGTAAAATTTATACTCTTAATAAAAAAATTACAAATAGTGAAAAATTTACTAAGAGTGATGTGAATAAATCTTATATGTCCAATTTTTATCCAATGTTAGTTTCTAGGTTTGTACACTATATAAACTTTACAGTATATATTTTCGAAGAGTTTTTTCTAAAGAACAGATCCGATATAGGACTTCTTCGCAAAATACCCCCATCCTTCCTGCAAACAGATGGGACAGGATTGCCATAGCTAGAGCAAAGAGGAACCACAGTACTAAGGCCATGGCCAGCGGCGATGCGGGAAGATGGCCCCTCGGCCAGCAAGAGGACCCTCATTACCGGCGACACCTGCGGCTAGGGTTTGAAATTTCGTTGCAAAATTTCTGAAATTTCGTTAATTTTGCCCTCCCACCGGCAAGCTCATATCTCGCCCGAAATTTTCGTTTTTTTACAATTTTTTTGTGAATTTGTCAAATTGTATTCAAATTCATTCAAAATCAGTTAAACTTTTAAATAATTTCGGTCAAAAAAATTCGAAATTTCTAAAATTTCAGTGTCCTCGACAGAAATAGCAATTTCGAAATTTAAAACCCTGCCGGCGGCATCGGATACTCACCCCAACACACTTATCCCCTTCTCGCTGGCTAGGGAGACCTCCGCCGCGGAGCCTTCTGTTGCTTCTACGATCAACGCGGGGAATTCATGCGCAGGCGTGCGGTGGTGGACGAGCTGGCGGCGCTGGGGGCGGCCGTGCATACCTGCTCCAGGAACGAGGCCGAGCTGGGCGAGCGCCTCAGGGAGTGGGAGGGCAGGGGGTTCCGCGTCACCGGCTCAGTCCGCGACGTCTCCGTCCGGGACCAGCCGGAACGCATGCTCCGCGAGGTCGCCAGCCTCTACGGTGGCAAGCTCGACATCCTTGTAAAACACTTCACAGCTTCTCTTCCCCCATCTTCAATTCAACTCCTTGCTTCCCCTCCTAGGTGTGGCCATGATTGAAGAACTTTGCCACTCCCTACATTTTATTTATAGGACCTATTATGCAATGCAAGTAAAATCCAAAATGTTTTTATTTTGGGTTAGAAAGGAAAAATGTTTAAATTATTCACAAAGTTTCATATAGGCACAAGTTATATTAGACTCACCTAGGTCTTTAGTTGGAAAATTTTGGTATTTCTAATTTATGAAAATCATTTTCAACATTTTAGATGCAAAATAATTTTGCATCTAAATGTAAAACTGTTACTATCATACACTGTTTCAACTACCTCAAAAATTAATTCATCGTCGTCATCCGACGAAGACTCATCGTCTAGTAGCATTTGAAGGAAGTTGTTTCGACGACTCATATTCCTATTTTTTTAGCAGAACGAGGGCAAGTAGGCAGGGGCGGACTCACAATTGGGGGGAGGGGGATCTTGAGACCCCACTACCGCTCCCGGGACAGTGCAGACCCCCTTAAGCCCCCACTATTTTTTTTCCATAGATTCATAAGATGTGGGGATTGGAGATTTGATTTATGATGATGTAGTTTATTCAGCCCTCACTACTATTTTTTTCTAGATCCGCCCCTGCAAGTAGGGAGAGGTGGGGGCAGCAACAGTGGGGAATAGAGGGGAGAGGGAAAGAACAACTGACATGGGATGGTGTGGTGGGGGAAATTGGCGTTGGGGAGGGAGATCAGCGTTGATCTTTGATGGAATGGGAGATTTCTATTGGTAGTTTAAAAGAATGGTCCATTTTTAGTTTTTATTTAGGCTTTCTCTTAAAGAGATGAGTTCACTTTCTATTTTCAGTTTAAGAAACCAAAACAAAATTTTGGGGTGGATTATATACATTATGTTGGTGATGCTTTAATCCTTTGGCGATTTGTATTACCAGGTGATGATCATCATGTATGCGAAGTCTATTCTTCTTTTTTTTTCTTTTTCTTTTGAAGCTGAGGTTTTTGGGCTTGTTTGGTTCCTTACCCTATCAATTCATTGGTAATATCACACTCTAGGTAAATTTTAGCACTACTAAAATATTGATAGGGTAAAATTATTTAGCTAACATTTGGATTGCTACCAATATAAAGGAATATTATTATAGTTTAGTGAAGAAACTTCTAAAATATAACCAAATAGGATAGGGGCACTACCAAATATTTGACCTCAATCTAAACTAACACACAAACTATTTACATTTGCTAATAAATTAGTAGGGCATGTTTTTGGTATTAAACCAAAATGGCCCTTCGTTAACCATCACTACAGAGTCCTCTTTGACACAACTTTATTTCAAGATTTTTTGAAGCTGGGTATTCCTACAATTACGTGGATAATATTTAAATAATCTTAATATAGATAAAAAATTTAAAATCTTAAATCACTGTAATTTAATATAGAAACATCAAATTCACCGTGTATACAGAGACTAACTCTAGGTGAATCCCTGAAGACACGATCAGATACAAAGTTGGGTGCCTGTACTCATGCGAGTCAGCAGACATGATTCCATATGCAGCAAAACTATGTGCTACACAAAGGGGGTGTTTAGACTAGGGGTGTAACGTTTTGACATGCCACATCGGATATTGTATAGGATGTCACATAGAGTGTTTGGGCACTAATAAAAAAAACTAATTATATAATCTGTCAGTAAACCACGAGACAAATTTATTAAGCCTAATTAATCCATCATTAACAAATGTTTACTGTAACACAACATTGTCAAATCATAGAGCAATTAGGTTTAAAAGATTCATCTCGCAAATTATTCACAATATATGCAATTAGTTATTTTTAGCCTATATTTAATATTTTATACAGGTGTTCAAACGTTCGATGTAACGTGATGTAAAATTTTAGGTGGAATCTAAACATTGGCCAAGTTTACAAGACCGAGGACAGTACTAGGAAGCAGTACATGGCGCAAAGGGCATGCGCGCAGACAAGAATTCAGCATCCGTTTCCAAAATTACATTAGTCATTCGCAGCTGATCGAGCAGCTCGCGTTCGAACCCCGGAACAGAAAGCAGCTAGCGTGTAGTGCATTTGCAAAATCAAGCGGGTAGTAGTACAGACAGCCTGTTTGGTAGAGCTCAAATTTTTAAATTTAGTTATAAGAGTTGGTCTGAAGTGGAGTTGTACAGCTGTCTAAACCTAGCTTCACATCTCTAGTTCATTTTATGATAAAACTCTACCTAACTCCGCTCTCATTTTAGGTGGAGCTGAAACTGTTTAGTTGACTCTAACTTTAAAAGAGATGGAGCTGTGCTAAACAGGCACTGACCTACAAATCTCAGCTTCACTCCACATTTTCTAGTTACAGCATTTGCCATAGTAAGCGTGATACTAAAATTGAGTTATTAGGATATAAAGCAGACGGTTTAAAGAAAAAAATTGAGGGGTTATTACGGTGTACAAGTTTTGTTTTTCCACTTAGTATAAGGGTGATACTATAAGGTGATTGCTATACTTGTGCTTGTGCCTCATAAAGGCTCTCAGCCTCGGCGATTTTATTGTACACGTCGGAGCAAAATAACAACAGGTAATCATAACCAATAGCACTGAAATATCTGCTGAAAGGACACCCGATGGAAATTGCAGTATGAACCATTATTTGAACAAAAGCACCTGCTCATCGCAATTATGCATCACTTAACACGAATAACACCAAACAAGAAGCTTGGCAGCCACCAAGAATGACTAGGCGCTTGGCACCAGCCCAGCCACCTAGGAAAACAAGCACATCTTATAGGCAAAAAAAAAAAAAAGTAACAAGATATCATCTTGCTAGGAAGCTGTTTGAGAATAGGAGGTTCATAAAGCATCAATTAACTGTCGGTAACAATGAACAAAGATGCGTCTTAACCACAAATATTTCAGCAATCTTAACAACATAGCAAACAGTTCACCACAAGGCATCATGAAAGTAAGTGAGCAAGTTGTATTTGGGTGCATGGAGTCATGCACAAATAAAAAAGTTCGAGACAAACATATAGTTGTACCACTTAAAGTTACTCTTAACTCTTAAGTTGTGACACTGCCTACAAATTAAAGTAAGGAGGTACTAATGGATCAAGACAACAAGGCTTTTAAATTAAGGAGGTTAGTACATCAAGACCACAAGGCTTAAATTACTGAGGTACTAATAATAAAGACCACAAGGCTTAAATTTAAGGAGGTAGTAATGCATTAAGAACACACAAGGTTTAAATTAAGGAGGTTGGTACTAATAATACTTCCTCCGTTTCACAATGTAAGTCATTCTAGCATTTCCTATATTCATATTGATGTTAATGAATCTAGATATATCTGTCTAGATTCATTAACATCAATATGAATGTGAAAAATGCTAGAATGACTTACATTGTGAAAAGGAGGGAGTACATAAATACCACAAGAGGTAAAATCATAATGAAGATAACAAGACGTACATATTATACTATAATCTAATAAAATCCATTTGAACTCATGATTTTACACATAATAATTTATTACGAGGGTGGTGACGAGGAGGACATATGGTCAGACTGTTGATTCTCCTTGGCTCGAGCCTCACACACCCCAAACAATGTGGATAAAAGACAAACTAAAGAAAGATTGTTTGCCCAACAGTTGTCAAACCAAATGTCCCCACGGAGTGATCTGCAACGCAAACCAAGATCAATTTTTAGTTCATCATACGTATCATCATTTTTATTATGCATATCTAACCTATATATACTTAAAAAAATTCGTATTTTTCCAATTGCCACAGATTTTCCGTCCGTCGTTTCTCTAAGCTTCATCCGCATCCGATTCCTATCATGACATCACGTCCTCTGCTGCCAGCGCCACCCCTACCCGCGCACCAGTCACCTAATCCCCTCCCCCTCCCAGCGCCTCTCCCGCCCTTCTTCTTCCCCCATCCCCCTCCCGTCATCTAGCGGATAACACTTGCCGAAATCTATGGGATATCAGATATGTACTGAAACTAAATTCTGTTGAATTATGATTGCAGAATATGCATACACAATGAGGTTGGCGATGGCTGCCAGTATTTATAGTTTTGGAGACAACTTGCTGGAACTTTTGACTGGGAAACCATCGGTCAGTGATGGCATCTGCTACACGAAGTGAAAACCGGTGCTAAGAGCAGGATATTCTTATCTATGAGAGAAAACTGCTTGGCCCACGGCCACGATGTTAGGCAAGCAGGCTCTTGGTCTTTCAGGCAGCCCCTGATCAGATGGGGCAGTCGTTCGGTCTCCAGAAATTCAGTTGCTATCCACAGCAGATTTTGTCGGTCCTGAAACATCGCTCTCTCTTGTGTTGCGTTCTCTCAAGATGCTCGACCGAAAATGCACCGCTTGTTGAGGACGCTATTCAACAGAAAATGATCAACGTTGTCTGTTTTGCTGGCTTAGGTTCAGAAAGGAGTTTGATCATTTTACTTAGTTTGTAAATGTCAGCGATCAGTACTAGCATACACCTATATAGCGGTCCTTGACCAGCGCCATAATTCAAGGTAGAATAGTACAGTAGATTATGCTAATGACTGATCAGTTTATCTATTATTCAGGTTTCTATTTTGGAATCAATCACAAATGGGTTTCATCTATGCTGTCGATCATTTGAACCTGTTGCTTCGGTGAGTGAGTCATTAAAGCTTATTTTTATTACTCCATCCGTCCTAAAATATAAGAACCTATAATCAAATAAGATATTTCTCAGTACAGATTCGTAGTACAAATAAATATCTCATCCGTTTCTAGGATTTATTCTTTGGGACGGAGGGAGTATTATTATTTCTTTTGGGTCAGATTAGTAACTTCCTCCATAATATCGCACGGAAGATTGATGTTTATCTTAACCCATGTCAAGAAATTTCGTTGACGCCATCCCCTTTTCCTCAATAAAATCTCGGGCAGGGTGCTAGTAAACTAAAAGTCGACGGCGTTAAATATTTAGGAATAGAGAGAGTATTAGTATATTTTAAGAAATAAATAAATCCTTGCGGTTCGGAAGGACTAGCACCGATCCTGATCATGCTGATTTTGTGCTCGATATCTAGAGCGATGTGCACCCGCGTCGAAGGATCCAACTGCCGTGGCACCCGGGAAAGATTCTTCGCCTTTGCCACCTCATAAAGGGAGCTGATCACCTAGCGATCAATTCAATTAATCAACTGATGAGCAGCAACCAAAGATCGATCGATCCCCAAAACCAACCAAACAAACAGACGATCTCAACCTGCGATTCTTCCGCGATGTCGGTGAGGGGGCCGGACGGAGGCTGGGAGTGGACGGCGCGCCGGGCCGCCGCGGCCATCATCCTTGTTCCGGCGAACGACATCGACTTGGACATGGATGGATTTCGGATTTTCAGTTAGGGTTCCATCTGACGCATATATCTCTCTCCCTCTCTCTGCCACAGGCCCAGGCTCAGCACGGCCCATCTTACCCGTCTCCCTCTTCGTTTCTAGTAGCAATTTAATTCTCTCTCACAAAAGAATAATAACAAAACAAATATGGAGTACTACTACTAATTACTCCCTCAGTAAAAAAAACTTAAGATGTGATGTGACATATTCTAATACAACGAGGTTGACACATTGTGCTAAATATATCTCATTTCATTATAGGTTGGGTTTTTTGGACGGAGAGAGTATACTAGGACTACATAATGGCTAGCCCTCCCTCAAATAGCCCAAATAACCCAAAAAGAACCAAAAGGATGAGTTATTTGAGGGCTATTTGGAAATAACCCACCCAAAAAATATCCCACCCAAGAGGTGCTAATTGGGGCTATTTTGGGTAGGCCCGCTAAAAAAATATCTTTTCTCTATATCTCTCCATGGAAAGATACATTAAAGGTCAAATAGCTCTCAAAATAACCCTTGAATCCAAACAACTTACTAATATAGCTCAGTTTCTAATAGCGGTTGTACCACTGGAAAATGTTTTTAACTGTTGCAACGCACGGGCATTTTTTCTAGTATAAAAAAAATTGTACTAATATATCAGTGAGCAAGTATATAATTTATTTCCACGAGTTTTTTTTTATCTTTACTATTATAAAAATTAAAGATATTTTTGCCAGAATTTTAGTACGTCATCCATGTTGGATTAGGTATCGAGTTAGGTTTTTAATTTTTTTTATCTACTCCCGCGCATTGTCCGACTCGCGAACACGCCACAATCACAGCTTCTGTTTATTTCGGTCTGTTTGTTTTATTTCGGTTTCTATCATTTCTTTTGTTGCAGCTTTTTTATCCCGATCCCAACTGATATCTATTGCACCGCTTTATTTTGTCCATTTATTTTTCAATTTCCGTCTGGTTTTTTTTGGTCCATTTTTTTTTCAGTTTCCGTCTGGGTTTTTTTTGGCCGTTTTATTCCCCGATCTATTCCACCGCGCCATCCGCGCACCTCCTGCCGCTGCCCGGGCCGAACCCTAGCGCCATGCCGCCTTCATGTCGATTGCGCATTATCTACTCTAATTGATTAAAAAATCGATTCCCCGCTCTTCTCTCATCATTTTCTACATGATTTCCCCTTTTGATGCGACTTTTAATTTACCAGATTTAATCTCCGACTATAGGCGATCTTCCCCGGTTGTTTTTATCGTGAGTTTTACCTCTGATTTTGGAAGACGGAAAGAGTAGATCGAGTGGATTGAAAGCCCTCAACCAATTTTGGGAGATCGAGCAAAATTCAGTCAGATTTGATGGGAAAGATCTGCTCCGACGTCGTATGGGCATTGGTCTATCTTTGGGAGGTTAAAGACAATAATCTTCTGAGCCTGCGGCTCTACTTGTTGGCTGGTTCAAAGTGAGGCAGCCTGAGTGGAGGTTACATAATGGCCTAGGGATTTAAAGGAAGGAACGAGTGAGTTTTCGGTTTAAAACGAAGGAATGATTTTCATTAAATTTTTAATTATAATGGATAGCAATCTCAGTGTTAGGATTTTCATTAAATTTTTTAATCATAAAGTATAGTGATCGCAATGTTTCAATCACTAAGAAAACGTATTTACCCGTTGCAACGCACGGGTAATTTTCTAGTAATTAATAATATAGCAGTAATACATTAAATATATAGGATAGGACAGTACAGCTGTTTGTTAGTACTCCTATTAGGGACGGGAAGCGGATAAGTGTTTTTATATATTTTTTTATTTAATTTAAAGAAGAGATAAAGGGAAAAAAAGGAAAAGAAACAAATAGTACTATATCCTCCCGTTCTTCTTCCGCACGATCGAAACCCTAGCCTTGTTCTTCCTCTACGAGACGAGAGACAGAGAGAGAGGTGGATTCCCTGATGTCGCTCCGCCACGCCGTGCTGATGCAGTTGCGGATGCTTCTCCGCAGCCGTCGACCCTTCTCCACCATCAGCGCCACGGACGAGGTAACTGCAATGCTGCCCCTGCCTCCAGTTCATCCTTGTGTGGTTCGATCGAGGGAGATTCATCTATTTAATCTCCCTCTCTCTCGGCTATCTTTCTCTTCTCTTCGGCTGCACTAATTGGGGGAGTCGAATCGATCTGTTTTATTTTCTGCGTTTGCTTTGTTTGGAGATTATATTATAATATGGAGACAATAGCGAGGTGGTCCATCTATATATAATAGGTCAATTAAATAGGTGGTCCACTATAATTTTTTATTATATTAAATTAATTAGCTGGCAATGTTGAGGAGTAAATGCATATCACTGAGAGCAAGTTTAATAGTATAGCCCACTGCTAGCTCCAAATCATCTATAGCCAATATAATAGTCAATTCATACAATAGTTGCTTACTATACTATTAATACATGGTCACACCTATCATACACACATTACGTCTTGGAGTCCGTGCTGCAGCTGACTACAGATCTGCAGCCCGCTGCTCTTCTCTATCTTATTTTATCTCTTTAAAATATATTTATAGTTGGCTTATAGCCTGCTATTGTACCTGCTCTAACAACATTAGCAATGCTGATGACTTTCCGTCCAAGTAGTCTTGGTATAATCTCAAGTGCCGTGCTTCTCTATTGCGATCAACCACTTTATGTCCCATGACAGACCCACCATATCTTGGTGCATTGACAGAGTGCCAATAGCTATGGACGATTTGTGCCGCGGCAAAAAAAAAAATCGTCGTCATCGTCAGACGATGATTCATCCACAAGCCGCTGAAACGAGGAGCGAGGACGACTCATCTTGGATCAAATCAACTGTCAAACCATTATTCATCACAACAAATTAAGTTTTTCCCCTTGCGACGTTGTCAGATCAAATTAAAGAAAAATGTCATTGACCGGAAAAAATCATAACATTGAGGGTCGTCTAGATATTAATCTGCAGATTGATGACACGGTCGTGTAGAGCATTAGCTAGGCCTTCCGTTTTTCCAAATATTTATTCATCATATCGAATTATGTTTTTTATTCCATAAAAACATTGTGAGACCAAAAACATAAAAAAAAAATTCAACAAAGCAAAAACATGGTTGCTAGCAAAAAATTTTACCTGTGCTCGTATAGTTTATACGCACTGTACAAGTGCTTGTACCTGTCACCAATCGTTGCTGCTCGCTGCCGTTGCCTAGTTGAGCGAAAAGCTAATGCCGCCGGCGCTGAGAGAGGAACAGCTCTGTGTGCGTCTGCAGCACTGTGTCCTTCGTTAGATATCATATCGCTGCGCCTTATATAGCCTCACGAACGGGCTCAGTCATGATCTCGCACGCGACTAGGATTACTCGCGATCTCGCGATTGACCAAAGCCCAGTCCCCTCCGCGCGATCTCGGAAATAAATTGTATGGCACCTCATGCCACAAAGCATGGATGGCCGACGACAGGAGTGGCGAAGTGCATGCATGCAGCAACACGGCGGAGACGACTGGATCAATCACTGACAAATATATTTTGACATAGTTTTCACATAAGCAGAGCATTAATGAAATATTCTGCAATCTTCAGGATCCTCAAATCCGAATTGAACTGATGATGTGCAGTGCCTTGGTCTTTCATGTCACCGTCAGCAATTTTTCCCTAAACCTGTATTGATTGGCTGTGTGCTGCATCCAAGCTTTTGCAAATTGCAAACAACACTGAACTTGACAACGTCCAGCGCGATCTGAGCTTCCAGCGCGACCTCCCCTCCGTGATCGCACGTCATAATAACGAACCCGCACAAAATTAGTTGAGAAGGGCCCACCAGTGATGATGTGGCAAATTTTAAAATTTTGGGAACTAAAATTTTAGGCATCTCTCAGAGAAGGGGGTGTTTTATAGGCCAAATTAGTTTTTGGCTGTCCCTAATATAGGATTTTTGGGGCTTTAATTTTAGCCCTTTGTTGGAGATGCTCTCATCAGTTCATTCTAAACTTCAAATTTAGTACTCCCTCCGTCCCTAAATATTTGACATGTCATTGACTTTTTTAAACATATTTAACTGTTTGTCTTATTCAAAAATTTTAAATAATTATTAATTCTTTTCCTATCATTTGATTCATTGTTAAATACACTTTTATGTATACATATAGTTTTACATATTTCACAAAAGTTTTTGAATAAGATGAACGGTCAAACATGTTTAAAAAAGTTCAACGGCGTCAAATATTTAGGGACGGAGGGAGTACTAGCCACTTTTGCTTTGTTTCGCGTTACAAGACGTTTTAGATTTTGAATAGATTTATATATGGATTTATGTATATGTTTCATATATGTATATATCCACATTTACATGAATATTAGTTAGACAAGAGATGAAAAAACCAAAATGTCTTATAATATGTAACAAGAGGGTACAATTGTTGTTCCATGTTAAGATCTATACACCCTCGAATGAATCTCAAGCAATCCAACATAACTCATACTTACGTTGAAGATAAATATATCTCGTTCATGTTTTGCTCATTCGGTTTCTAACTTTGTCAATTTCAAGATGTGTGTGTTATCATAGGGGTAAGTGCACATGTATTGTGAGCGTTGTTTCTTAAAAAATATATATTTACTCAAGAATATATATACCTAGATAGTCAGTGACAAAACAAATGCTCTAAGTGTGCACGTATTGTGAGCGTCGTTTCTTAAAAAAAATTACTCAAGAATATATATACCTAGATAGTCAGTGACAAAACAAATGCTCTTTTGACTGACGTTATTATCTTACATCGACCTTTGCCATTTTTCTCCTTTACAGTACTTTTGGCTGCCTGATGTTCTAAGCAATTAAAGTCACATAGATAAACATTAGTTAACCTACAAAGAAAAGTATCAATACATGTGTCTGCAGCCTTGCACTTTCGAAGTTCAGCTATAATTTTCACCATGTTCAGAGAAAAGAAGAATTACTACCCATGCTGGTGAAACCATTTGATGCCAAGCTATCAATAAAGAGACTAATTAAGAAATTAAAGCCGACCAAGTATAAATATTTGGTACACAGCTGAGACAACAGAAAACACAACTCTCTGGAGGAATTAACAATGGATACAGTCTCAGGTACACTACAACCAAGCAATCTCCTCATCACACATGCACATACATGACCAGGGACAAGTAAGAAATCAATCCATTTCAGCTGTCTGTCTTCAGGCCGGTCGATCACAGATTCACAGTATGCAGGTTCTTTGAAGGAGAAACTCAACAGGGATCGAAACTACAACTAGCTGAAGCAACACCATACATGCAGTACTGCAGCATATGATGAACTGATAAATAAATAAATATATATATATATATATATATATATGTAGCAGATATCTCCAGGCGATGTCGATCAATTGAACGGCAATGGAGACACGCCAGATGACGGTCAGTTCGATGTCATGGTATTAGCTGATGTGGAGTAGTAGGACGCGACGCTCCTGATCGGCGTCTTTGAAGGGCACACCCTGAAAGTAGATCACAAACAAAAGGTTGTTTACATGGACATGCATAGTGATATGTGCATGTAAAATTTTATCCGGTATAGTAAGGATTATTGAACCTGATAGGCTGGCCACTTGCAAATATGCCACTGGAGTTCAGGGCGTTAATAGCACCATCAACCTGAAAATATTTTTAGATAATATAAGTTTTTTATTGAACTAACCAATTATACAATTGAGAAGATATATACAACTCTACTAAGTGCGTACACTCCCAGCCTCTGCATAACTACACAGTGCACATAGCCAAAAACACTCACTCGCACCCTCTTGTTTCAAATTAAAGAATACATGAAAAGTTTATGTGTTATATGGAGATTTCATATTTATGTATATTCTGAATTCCATGTTATACTATATATCTAAGGAATGAGATGTAGGTCTTAATTAAAATGCCATTGAATGAACAAATTATAAATTACAGGTCTGACGGTTATTCTAGTACTAGTTAGCATAATCAAGCTATCTAGTATACCTTTTGTTGATATTTCTTTTTAGAACTAAGTAATGATGAGCAATAGAAGTACAGAATCTTAATTATTCGAGTGTATGTGCATGGCATTTACATATATGCATATAAATGGGCTGTAAGCTAGGACGATCTAAACCAAGAGCTAGTGATCGATTATCGATCATTAAGAAGAACAGCTTGCTTATTAGGATGAGGAAATTAATGAGGATGTTTATTATTACATTGCTCCTACACCATCTACTATACTTAAATTCAAGCCAACCAATGTGCGAAAATTACTGCATTGAGAACTGACATATTTGAGAGAGTCACCTCAGCAAACTCAATAAAAGCTATGCGGGTGGGGTGACCATCATCACCTAACAGTTTTAGGCGGAAAACCTGCATATAATCCATGAAATGGAAGAAAGCGAGATAATTCAGATAAATATATTACGGTACAAAAAATTCAGATAAATATATATGAGATTTGCTCCAGTCCAACAATGCCAATCCTATCCAGGTAGATCCAACGATTAAAAACGATTTGGTACTATGAGGTGCCGATATCTCGAGGTATTTTTTGTTGGACCAGAATAAATCTCAAATATATACAGTGTGTGCTGCTGAAAAATAATTAATGAAGAGGAATATCAATTCATGAGATGATTATATTCTAACCTGACCAAAGTGTTCCTCGCAGAAGTATTTCAAATCTGTTACATTGACCTATAAAAGTTAACAAGGAACTTAATTATTAACATTGGAGACAACTGCTTAATTATTGGAGAATTTTTTCTCAAGGAGGATTAAGGTTTCGCATACACTCTTGTCGATGTTTGTGCAATAGATTGTTCTTGAGCACATCTCCCTCTCAGCTTCAGACTACCGAACAAATTAATTTAAGAGTGAGTACACAACATGTTGAAAATGGGATGATCTATCTTGATTATAAATCATGGCAATAACATGGTTCCTTGGGCTGTACTGACCTGAGGAAGAAAAGAAGGGTTCACAGGCATGATTGCAGTCTTGGAAGGTGAAACCCTAAGAGGGCAAATGCCAAGAACATACCCATCAAGATCCAATGCAGCATAAGCATCACCTGAAAAAAAAAGGGGGCTTCCATGTTATATCTCCAGATTATATTTGTATGAACCTCTCACTTGTATTGATGAAAAACAAGATTCAGGTTTGAAATGTGCCACTTACTCTCATCTTGAAATTCAATAAATGCAAACCTAAGGCCAGATGAGTGATCTCCACAGATGCGGCAATCCACCACCACCTGTTGCAACATATGGACAAATTAAACTAGAGCAACGAATTTTAAGGCGTTTAGGACATTACAAACTAGAGAAAATCATGTTATTTTAGATTGCTCCCAGCATAGCACGAAGCGATTATTCGTTTCACTTAAAATCTAACTTTATGAAAACACTATCTTTACTAGCTAGAACCAAATAATTAAGAGGACCCTGTTATAAACAAAAATCTTCTGAAGTAAACATGCATGTCCATAAAATTTTACAAACTGGCATATACATACTTCTAAAGAGTACGTTCCACCACCTGATTCAAGCCTTTCAAAGGATAAAAAAGAAATTAGTGCGTCACATGAACATAATTGTGCTTGGCACTTGCAAATGATGATGCTTTGGTTACTATATACATATGCATATGAATGATATATATCACAATATCAAAAGTTTTTCATATATATCGAAAGCAGTCTTACTCAATCACCATACATATCACAGTTATATACCTAGAAAACTAGTGAAGCTAAGTGTGCGCGTGTTTATATAAACGCTTGCATCTACACTGTGTTTCGCAAAAAGAAAAGGATAAAAAAAATAGTGGAGCTAAAAAAATGTTTACTCAGGCACATATATATACACATGGGAAGGAAGAGGCGTACGCTGCAATAGCTCCCGAACAGTTCAGCTAACATGTCCTCAGTAACCTGAAACACACAAATGCATACCATTATTATCTTTCAGAAACAAATGAAGTGTCACACATTATATTTGGATGTGACAAATTACTCCATATATGCAAGCCATAGAAAATAAAATTCATCGCATTGCAATCCATGGAAATATCAGTATCTTACAGTATGGTCTATATCACTGACAAATATTGTTCTTCTCACAAACTCTTCCTTCTGGGCCCTTCGCACCCTAGAAGAAAACGGGGCTGATCTTCCTTGTCTGGAGAAGTTTCTACTACCCCTCCTCTGTAAAAATGTAGTCAGTAGATAGGAATTAATTAATTAGGGACCTCAAAATTTTAGGAATTTGTCTAAGATGGAATATATATGATGGCACCGTAATATAATACTGCCTCCGTTTTTTAATAGATGACGCCGTTGATTTTTTCTCACATGTTTGACTATGAGTGATAAAACAACTCATAGCAAAATAAATTATAATTACGTAAATTTTTTGAATAAGACGAATGGTTAAACATGTGAGAAAAAGTCAATGGCGTCATCTATTAAAAAATAGAGGGAGTATATAGTAGATCATAGTGAGAGAGAGAGAGAGCATTAGTGACATATATATGCACCATGTATGCATCCATGGAACTTTAGGAAAGTAGCTATTCATGGCCAAAAGAGGGGGAAAAAGGACGAACCAAAAGTGGAAACGGACTAAATAGGAAAAGATCTAATTAAGACAAAGAAGAAAAAGTCCCAAACCAAGGGGAAAGACTATTTCAGTTTCCACCCTGCCTGAAGAACCAAAATCAAATCAAGCATCTAAAGATTGAAGTAGTTTCTTTCATGTGACCGTCACATCAAACCAGATAATATCACAGATCATGCCCCCAAACATGGATCTATCTCCCCTAAAAATTGAACCCTAGAAAAAAAATGCATGATATCTCTGTCTCTTTATATATATATATATATATATATATATATATATATATATATCATGGAATGAATAATAATCACCAACAAGAGAGAAGTACTCAAGAGAACGAGTCCTCTCGAACACAGATTCTCTCAAAAGCCTTCTTTTCTATTAATAATATATAGAGAGGTGCCATGTGTCCAACACAAATTCTCTCAAAGCTTTCTTTTCTATTAATAATATATAGAGGTGCCATGTATCCTAGTCCTCTCGGGCAGGTTCTCTCAGTCTCACTAGTTTTCTTTTGAGTATTGCTACACGTATTAATTTTCTTTTACAAAACTCTTACAAAAAATGATCTCAACCGTTCAAGTTAGATAGATGGAAGTTATAGAAAATCTAGATATACTCACAGCGTAACACGTTGATGTTAGTAAGAGTTTAGTAAAACAAAATTTAGTACGTATGCATAGAATTTTCCTTTTCTTGTCTTCAATAATAGATGATAAACCCTCCTTGTATTCAAATGTACAAAGAGAGAGACACTCAAAGCATGCAACAACTCCCTCTTGTCTTTCTTGCAGCTCACAGTAAATAAGCAACCACCTCGATCTGACGCTATCCCTATACCAAAAACATAAACCCCCTCCCCCACCGATCTGCGCCTCTTCGCCCTGATTTTCAACACATGCAACTACCGCCACCCGAAAAGGAAAGCGTAAACCCAAAAAACTGTAAACCAAGACGCCACGAACAAGATTGAAACGAGAAATAATCGAAATCGAAATCGAAATCAAAATCATACGAACACGATTGAAACGAGAAATCGAAATCGAAACCAAAATCAAGTTTCATCGACGATTTGTGATCTGAAAGAGATCGAAGGAAGAAATTACGGAGTGCAAGAAGCGGCTCTTGCTTACACTCCAGTGGCGGGTGGAGGAGATGCCATTCCCGCTCCCCGGCGATCTTCTCCGGCGGATCGAGGCGGCGGCGGTGAACTCCGGCGCGTCCGGGTTGAGGCGCTCCGAGACGACGACGACGAGCTCCTCCGGCGCGCCGTCGTGGCCGTCGCCGTAGCCGTAGCCGTAGCCGGTGAGACCATCAACGCCTCGCCAGAACCCCTCGTAGACGAACTCCGGCGCGTCCGCGGAGAGCTTCGTCCTCCTGGCGGCGTCGTCGTCGTCGGCGGCGGCGGCGTGGCGGTGCCACCGCGGCACGAACTCCTTCGCGTTCGGGTTGAGGCTGCGCCCCGCCGCCGCCACCACCACCCTCGAAGTCCTCGCCTCCTCCGCTCCCATCACCTCCATACGGTCTCCGACTCTCCGTCCGGCTGCGGCTGCGGCGGCGGCGATCGGCGGCGGCGACGAGGTCGAGAGCGCGAGATCGCGAGGAGGGGGAGGGGAGAAGAGTTGGTAGATTTGGCACTACGACGATGTGAACGCGGCGTGCTTTATATGCTACAACCGCAAGCGCGAGCGCCTCACCCTCAGTGACGCCCTGCGCCGCCACCGGTGGCCACGCACGCCACACTCACCGACAGGTGGGGTACGCGAGGATGTGGGCCCCACTGTCAGCGACCGCGGTGGGTCGGTGAGCCGGTCGGGAGGTCCCACCGGTCGGCGAGAGGAAGAGTTCCGTCTCTCTGTTTGGCACGCGACAGCTGTGGAGGAGGGGTGTGGGGGCGGGGTGAGTTGCTGACGTGTGGGCCCCACGGGTGGCGTGGGCCAGGGCGGTCAGCGAGAGGCGCGGGTCGGGTCGCGTGTGCGGTCTCCGAGGTCAGGAAGTCCATCTGACTAGGTCAATGACACTAGGGGCCAACCAGGGGGGTGGGGGCCCTTATGTCAGTGATGACGCGAGCGCTCTTTACTGTCGTTTTGGTTTTTCTCGTGACGAGAGACGCTATGCGTGCGTCTCGTTTGGTCGTCTGGAAAAGCGAAAAAGAAAAAAAATGGGGGAAATGAGATTAGTTTTAGGTTGGAGTGCATTGATGCAGTATAAATTTCTGAGATAGATTTAATGATGCCAAAGAACCATTTTGATTTGGAGTAATCCATATCCATTTTATCTGCAAAGCTAGCTAAGGCTAGAATGATATCATGACGGGATAAATCATCTCCATATATACTGATATATTATTACTATTTCTGGTGTTGTCTCTGTTTCAAAAAGGAGTTCACTTTTCTACACAAAATGTGGAAACGTAACTATGGAAACTCATCTAGAAAAATAAATCTTTTTAGGACAAGGGTAGTAGCTAGTTTTAGGAAGATAGCATCCATCAATATATGTAGGGATAAAAACATAGTGTACTTAGACGTACGGTTATAATCATACTATATCTTACACCGTACACTTTTGGATATATACACGGATGTCGGAAATGATATGGGAGTGGAACAGCTCGATTTATGAACATGTCGAAATTATCGGATAGGCCGGCATGCATTAAATAATGATGCCAGTTATGCTCCCATCCACGTGCTTGGAGGGCCTCGGAAGTTAAAAAGAGCAATAAGCTACTTGCTTAGGCTCTCTTTATTTGGGCTTAGATTTATTGGCTTGGCTTTTCAAGTCAACCTTTTGGCTTATATGTTTTATAAGCCGGTCGATTATTTAAAGTCCTAATATTTTAATTATTTAATGCTTGAGTCATACCTCCACTTTGATCACGTAAACCAAAAAAGCTTCTTCAACAATGAGATCGCAGGACAATTAATGCATTCTGTTGAAGAAAATGATGGAGCTTTTGGTTTATATGGCTTTAAAAAAAACCAAACAAAAAACTTGCTTTGTTGGTTAGGAGTAGACTTTTTATCTTATAAGTTAGCTTATAAGTCTAAAAAAATCCTAGACTATGATGGTGTGAGATTCGGTCATGTAGTATGGTGATATAATCTAGAAATCTGTTAATCCGAATATCGGTTTTAGATAATAGTACGAGTTTTAGATAACCTAAAAAAGTATTAGGTAACCCATTCACCCGTTTTTAAGATAAAAGCATATCCTATTTAATTTAATATTCCTGGTGTTAGAAAAAATACTTGCCATATTTGGTAGAAACGGCTGAACGGTCAAGAAAATATCCGATCCGTTTTTATCCCTAAATACACATGTAGAGTCATCAGCAGCAACTGCCATTATTCTAGCTGCCGTTATCAGCTGCGCTGTAACCTGAAATGAATCTTATCTCTAAAACCTGGTGATCTTTATTTTCTTTTAGAGAGACATTTGAGGGGAAACTGATCTTTTATCAAGGAAAAGTATCATCTTAATTGGGATCATCTATATGCCTTAGTGCTTTACAATGAAGACAGTGCATCATATAATGCATGGTAATTATGTTTTTTCAGTTAATTTGTATGCATGATCTTTACCTTCTTCTTTTTTATTTGTGTGAAATGGGCAAGAATCACTTTGGGAACCAGCATCCGGCCGCCTTGAACAGCTACAGGGGCTGCTCGTCGACACACAACAAGTGGTGGATCAAGAGCCATGTCGTAGATAATTAAACCATGTATATTCCCTCCATACTTGAATTAGAAGTCGTTTTGGGTGTCACTGGTGTTTTCACAAAGAATGTCGCGGCACGCTCAGAGGATAGAAGGTGGATGTGTTTGCCCCTGCGTGCGCATGCTCGCCGTCCGCAGTAATCATGCGCATTAATAGCGCTTGTTCATTACACTCGCCGCCCAGACTGGGTGCGGCTGCCTAACCAATCTAACTATGAACAATTCTTGTAAAAGGAAACCCGCAGCCTCATTTAATAAGGGCAAACATGGAAGAATACCCCTTAATTAATGATTCCTTGGTAAGCACAATCCTGTCCAAAACGACTTCTAATTCGAGTACGGAGGGAGTAAATGTTAAGGATGTGTCATAAGTGGGTTTTGTCTCGACTCTAGGAACTATCCACCGAAAATGATGGATGGGCAAGCATATGAGGATGCTCTCAACCACAATATTATAAACTAGTATAACAAACATAAAGGAGAAAGAGAGTAAATTGCATATTGTTTTTTTCTTTTGGGGGGGGGGGGCGACCGGAGATTCATTAATCACGGTCAGGGTTACAATCTTGGATTAAGATATCCCTAAGTCCAGGTGGGGTTATAAGGGGGTTATAAGCCACTCCACCGCCCGAGAGTTCTGGGATACCATCCGGGCACAAGCATGTGCTACCCTATTACAATTTCGGCTAATAAAATGTAAATTGAAGTCTATGAAGCTCTTGCTGAGGATCTCCATCTGTGTAAGCAGAGCTGAGATTTCTGAGCATTGGTGTGCTCTCATCTCCCATAAACCAGTAAGGACTACGCGTGGCTACTTTTGGTTGATCCGCATCGTCAAACAACCGATACGTACTAAAAGGGGGATAAAATCAACTGTTCCCTCTCATACAACAACAAAAGAAAAAAAAGATATGCCATGAACGGTGGTAAAAAAAACTAATCATTGCCCCTGAGCCTTACTAGTGCAAATAAAAAGAGGAGGGTAGGTTAGGTTGATGTGATGGCTAATTTATACAATAATATCTTAAAGCCCTAATAGAGCCCGAGTAACCTGATCGATCTAATATGCACTAAAAGGGGTTCGTAACATAATCTGCTGCCAAGCTACACTACCAGTGAGGAAGGACTGTGCGACTAATGCATAATTTAGTCAAACTTTTTAAACTCGATCCGTCAAATACATGAAATTGAGCCCTACTTAGGCTCTGTTTGTTCCCTAGGGTTCCCAACTCCCCACCCTCATTTTGCGCGCGCACGTTTTTCAAACTACTAAACGATGTGTTTTTTTAAAAAAGTTTCTATACGAAAGTTGCTTAAAAAAATCATATTAATCTATTTTTGAAAAAGAATAACAAATACTTAATTAATCATGCGTTAATACAAACATCGTTTTACGTGCTAGCTCAACCCTCCTCCTGAACAGAGCCTTAGTTCTGTTTTACAAGTACTATCATAGTATCATTAATTTATTATATTTCTAAAATTATTTAAATATAGAATTGGTAGTAAAATTTTAGGAAATTTGATCCAAACTTATTCTTTAAAATAAAATATTTATAACCACAGAGGCACAGAGAGGGAGTAGTTATGAAGAGCAAAGACTTATATACAAGAAAGGAAAAAGATAGAATGAAATCCCTGTGACATGGGCTCCACCGTTCATCTGGCCCAGGAATTGTTCCCGCGTGGGCGGAATCCGGCCCTGGTTAGGCGGAAACCCAGGCCCATCCACTTCCGGTGGGCCGAGATTCCAGCCCGGCCCGAATACGTGGATGGGCCAAAATTGGGGTCAACCCAAACGAGGCTAAAATCGCCAAATCCCTTCTTCTTCTTCTTCTTCTCTCTCCGACCCTCTCGTTCACCGGCGACGGCGGCGCTACGACGGCCGGCGGGCTCCCGTACTCCGCTTCCTCCTCCTCCTCCTCAGGTTTCGTGGTCGTGCGCTCTGTTCAGCTCCTCTCCCTTTTTACGGTTTTTGCCGCTGCGATTTCTGCTGCGATGAGCTCGCTCGCCCGCGCTCTTAGAGCGCGTCTCGATCGCTTCGATGTGGTCTGGGGACAAAGGAGTGATGCTGGGAACGAAGGGTTCGGGTGGTGGGGATGTGGGAGAATGGCTACTAGTGCTAGGTTTTGGGGGGTCGATTTGGAAGGGTTTGGTTCATGGGAGATTGGGGAAGAGGGGTGGGGATCTGGTAGATGCAGATGATGAAGAGGGGCTCATATTTTGATTTAGCTTTTAGCAAATATATAAAGTATATAGCGAAATGCACTCACATTTCATTCATTTCCTTCTGTTTGTTTGTGCATTTCAGTGCGCTGGTGAAATTGATAAGAGGCTGTTGGAACTTGGAAGCTGTATAGTTCAGGTCGTCATGGCTCATCAAAAGCGTGAAGCAACCAGCGACAACGGCGGTGGCGATGAAGAGTGGGCATCAAAACGCCCCAAAGTTGTCGGCGCTGCTGCTGAAAAGGAGCACATTCTGACATCTGACGCTTCGCATGAAACGAATGGCGATGAAGCTCAAGGAGGAGATGCCTCTCGAAAGGAAAACACGGTGTCGACAAACCCGTGTGTTTCAGATGAGAAAGCAGCAACCAACTCGAATGTTTCAAGTGGCCATGGGGTGATTTTGACTAGTGTGGAAGCTGATGCTGCAGAAGACAAGGGTTGCAGGCATACTATGGAAGATGCATGGGTGCTGCTTCCTGATGCTAGCATGGAATCTCCGGGAAACCTGAGGTCTGCCTCTTTCTGTTCAGTTTAACTCCTAGCATCCAATACTTGCAGCCTGATGTGTAGCTTGATGCAGGTGCGCTCATTTCGCAATATATGATGGACATGGTGGTCGCCTGGCTGCAGAGTATGCACAGAAACATTTGCATCAGAATGTTATTGCAGCAGGATTACCACGTGAGTTGGTCTGTTTACATTATCTGCTTCCTTTCAATGTTTTCACTATTCATGTTCTATCTGAACTTCTGTTTTCCTCACTGAGTGATAGTTTAGTGTTAGCAAAATTGCGCATTCATTGTTTCTCTATTTTTCTTTTTTTTATCATATGGGAGTATTCCATCATTAGATTTATGTTTTATTTCCTCTTATGCTACCTTCCATTAATGAGTCATTTCAGTTAGGTCCGTCACTTGATTTATTTCAATGGTATCTCTAGATTAATCCCTTTTTTGCTTGAATGCAATGCACACAGTAATTTGGTTTGTGAGTTACCTAATAGTAATTAAAAATGGATTTACAGATGGATGTTAAAGCTGCAAAGAAGGCCATCATTGAAGGTATTTATTACATGAATCTTAGTTACTTGCTGATAACTGTAGACTAGGATTACACTTGTTGATTTTTGATGGCTAAGATTATTCCCCTGGTCAGCTAAACTGTCCTATGTACTGTACATAGACACATTGACCTTGATTCCATTAGCATCCCATATACTCCCTCTATTCAAGTTTGTCTGTCATATTTTGGCCTGACACAAAGACCAAGGACAGCAAACATGCTTATCATCTTCCTAATCTACTCCCAGGCCAATGGGTCAGCATGCCTATTGTAACAGCCCATGCATGCATGATGATCGCAGCGGAACCAATGATCTGTAGCCAATTGTAAATGCGATTAATTTCACATGCATGCAACGGGCAGTGCTCCTGAGGCGTCCATGCAGTGGCTGATTAATTTCACGTGCGAACTGAAACGGCCAGCACGTCGGACGAGATGCAACTGCATGCCAACTGCAAATGTGACGATCAAACTTGAAAATCAGTTTTTTTTTTAAAAAAAATGATGATCAAACTTGAATGGAGGGAGTACTTTATGATGATGAGTCCAGGTGCAATCCTTTAGTTTTAATTTCACTGTCTGGTTTGGTAGAAGAAATATATTGTTTATGGAAAACGACAACAGGCATTGCCATCTTACGTGTAGTTCCAGTGCTAAGAGGAACACAATTTCAATTCCAAGCTTTCTCTGTTTATTATTGTTTTTCCTTCATATTAGCATATTCCCTGTAAGAAAATGATGTGCTACAAAAAAAATTCTTACAAACTTTTTACCAGTACTGAAATGGTACACTTTCGCATCTTTTATTTTCCATCAACCAACTTATTAAATCAAACAGTTGGCATTTTAAAAGAATCTTACGTATAGCACTACTCTTCTCTGTACTTACTATATCTATCTCTCCACACATTTGATGTTTCAAGCTCTTTAATTTCCGTTCAGTAAGTATTTATTTTCCATCGGTAATTAGTACATTACTGATACACCAACTGATTTTATGCTCTGGTACTTACTTTGTTGGATCTTTTCAGGTTTTCGTAGAACTGATGAGTGCTTACTGCAAGAAAGTACTAAAGGTACGAGGATATATTCATATCTAGGCAGAAACCATGGAATAAAATTTTAAAAATATTTGAAAAATATCACATATGGCTAAGGTGATATTAGACAATCATACAAAATATCAAGATGAAACTCCTCTCCATCTATGAGATAGGAAATCGAGAAACAGTGAAAAACAAAATAACAAAAAAACAGGTATAGTGTTTCTTCATTGCCATTGTTAATTTTATATCTCACAAACGAAGTCTGAATTTGTTGTTAAAAATTTTGTATGGTTGTCTAATTACATCTTCCCTACATTTGTGATTTTCCTTATATATTTTCTGAACTTCCATGCAAAAGTTTCCAGCTAAGTTGTAGGTTCCACTACATATTTTCCCATATCTCCATTACTCTTCTGCAATATCCAATTCGTGTGGAAAAGTTGGCCTGCACATTTACCATAGACCTCTGCTTTACAGTCACCTCTGACCCAATATAGTGTTTATGGCCCAGATAAGAATAATATCTGGCCATTCTACTATATTGGCTGAAAATTGTTATTGCAAATCTACTTAATGTTCTGCATTGTTATCAGTTACCTGACCATAAATAGCCTTCTTTGGTGGTTAAAATTTGTAGCTAGTGGTTCGTAGTGTATAGTTTAGCTGATGCTGTCAACAAAATGCATATAATGAGATAATTATTTTGGTGAGCAGCAGAGCTAATTAGAGATACTAAAGGTCTGCTCAAATTGTCTCCTTTTCCTTCTGCTTGGACAAGGAGAGATATTTATTATTTAATCAGATTGGATTTCATTCGACTTTCCTATTTCACAACAATAAAAGGAATACATTTCTGTTTTGGTGACAACTAATAATAAACATTGTATTGTGCCCAGCATTGAGGTAGATTTTGAAACTCTATTATGTAAATTTTGTTAGTTTCATTTTTGTTTCATATGATTTTTTACTCTATACTACTGAATTTCTACCTATTTCCTTATTATACTATAGGAAACTGGCAAGATGGTGCAACAGCTGTCTGTGTCTGGGTCCTGGGGCAGACGGTTAGTTTTCAGTAACAAGGGAATTTTGTGTACTCATAATATTTTCACATTATTATATTTTTGGATTTTGACTTTGGGAGTATCGATAGTGACAAGATTTAAGAGGTGATAGAAATGTGTTGGTGCTTACTTTCAGCCCTCTTAGTTAGAGGTTCTCGATGGTTCATGAGGGCCCATATTTTATATCGTGATCATCTGCATGTCATTTCTTGCTGAGTTGTTTAAATCATGTGGTTTACTGTACGTAGGTCCAATCTACTTTTTATTTGTATAAGCTTAAATCATGTGGTTTACTATTTTGTTTCTTTCAATGCTATGTGCTTTGGTTTCAGCTCTGTGCTCTATAGTTTTAAATTTTGAACTACTGGATCACAACTGTTCTATTGTTTATGTAGTGAAATATATTGTCGATTATGTGATTGTTGTTTATTTTATTTTTGAAAAAAAGGTGGTTGTTGCAAATGCTGGAGATGCTAAAGCTGTATTAGCTCGTTCCACATCAGCTGATGGTGAAGGTGCAGTGGATGATGCCAAAAGTCAACTGAAGGCTATTGTTTTGACCAGAGAACATAAAGCAATCTTTCCACAAGAACGTGCTCGAATCCAAAAGGTAACTTGTTGCTTTACTTTCAACATTTATTTCAGTTTTCCTGCCAAATTTCATCTCAGTTTCGTTTTGAAAGTTTAAAATGTATATTCTGTTTTGTGCACTGTTATTTAATATAATGAAGTCCTTTCTTGCTCTAGATTTTCCAATGTAATCATGCTGCATGCACCGTAACCTGTTAAACCTAATCTGATTATGCTACACAACTGCAAATATGAATGTAGCTCTGCGTTGTTAATATCCGTTTTCATTATGGGTTATTCCTTGAACAACTTAATGCATTTGTGCTTCAATCATATGCCGGTGATTACCCTACTTTTATGTGGTTTCAGTTAGCTTGTTTATATTATGAGTATGTTATCATTTCTTGATTTATTGCTTTGCAAAAGGTTTCAGATCCTTTTTTGATTTGCTTCATGTCGTTTATTTAGTTTAGTCCCTTGTGGTTTTGATGAATTGGCAATTACTATATGAGCTTGTTAGTTCTATCATTATATTTTGATTTTGATTTTGATTTGTGTTGACTCTTGATTCATTTTAACATGTTTTCCCTACAAAGGCTGGAGGATCTGTTGGCCCTAATGGCAGATTACAAGGTCGCATTGAAGTATCTAGAGCTTTGGGTGATCGTCAGTTTAAGAAGGTTTGCTGTTGCAGATACATTTCTCATAAGCAGTTGTGCACATTTCCACATTGCTTTTTGAACCAACTATGAAGTGTCAGATTTCTGGCTATATGCTAGCACTGTTGTTTCAGCTAACGTTCGACCCTATTAACTGCTGGGGATTTAAGTTGTAAACAGACGTTGTGGAAGCTTGCTAGCATGTTTTAGGTCTTTGCGAGGCTGCAAGCCTTCACAAAATTATGATACTAGTATATTTCCCTGTTTCTCTGTTCATCTCTTTGTCTGGATAATTGGATAAACTAACAGTGGCTTTCTCGATATGGCAAACCTAACAATGTGCCATTTGCATATATTGAATTATAGTAGTGTATGAATTCTGTTGGGCAACTGGCCATGCCTGGTCTTGTGAAGTTCTTTCAAAGATAAAATGTGAAATCCTATGTTCTTTTGACATGCTTTTGGAAAGCCTGCTTTAGCCATAGGAAATTGCTACATTTTTATATTACGATCTCTTATGTGCCCCACTCTGCAGGTTGGGCTGATTGCTACACCAGACGTCCACTCCTTTGAAGTAACGAGAAAAGATCATTTTATTATTCTTGGGTGTGATGGCTTATGGGGAGTACGTCCTTTTTCTCTTCTCCCCTTTATCGCCAATCGTTCTTGTGGTCTGCTTCAGTAATATACTTTTTCCGTGTTGTTTTAACATGTGCTGTAAATGGATGTGCCAGGTATTTGGACCAGGTGATGCTGTTGAATTTGTGCAGAATCAATTGAAGGTGCTGTTTGTTTCTGTTATTTGCATCTCCAAGTGCATTCGTTTCCTTTCCCCACTACTCCATCTAACAGCAATTATCTACCGTAGTGAAAGCATTTATGATCAGATTACGCTGGCACACAAAATCTAAAGCCATGTGACCCGATTATGATTGAATTTAATACGATCAATTCCGCAAAGCATTACTCTCTCTGTTCCAAAATATAGCAACCTAGGATCGGAGAAAACATATCCTAGGGGGCCTATTTATTTTAAGTTGCTATATTTTGGGATGGATGAAGTATATGAACACCAAATTTCTCAACCCTAAAACTTTGTTCAACCGTCAATCATTGCAGGAGACCTCGTCAGCGACTCTGGCAGTGCGGCGGCTCGTGAAGGAAGCTGTTCGTGAGAGGCGTTGCAAGGACAACTGCACTGCCGTGCTGATCGTCTTCAAGCACTAGAATTCTTTTCACCCACTGCGACCGTTTTCGTTTTTTCACCAAGCTGAACTGGGGAAACGAATCATCTGACAACGAACAATATCTAGTTCTATTGTTACCTTATCCTGCACTGCGACGTTCTGGCCGTGTCTGTATTGTGATCGAGACCCTTGTGCACTGCTGTAGCCGTGTATGTATTGTGATCGAGACCTTTGTGCACTGCTGTAGCTTATGCGGTTATGCCACCTCTGGAATGAATGAAATATTGGAGCCCCTCCACTCCAAAATATAGCTTTATAGTACGAGATTAGATACAACCTAACAACGGATTTGAATAGGTTCTTTGTTCAGATTCGTTGCACTATGGTATGACTAATCCAGTAAATTAGGTTGCTATATTTTGAGATTTTTGAGATGGAGGGAGTATTTTTCTAGATATTGGAGTAATTCCTGGTACTACTAGATTTTTATAAAGTTGCTGTATTCCCAAGGATCATAGATCTGCATTGTCAATTTGCGCCTTTTTTCCCCTGAGATGTGCAAATGAAACCACGTAATGTGCGGTGCCAATGGTCAAACAAGCAGCCTGGTCCTCTGGTTGTTGTAGGGTTTTCATTTTCTGCCACCTGCAACCTTGTATACCGTGTAAATCGAAGTAGTTTCAGTACCTTTCCCATTTTGTACCGCAATGCAACAACTTGAAAGAAGACGACTTGCTCTCGACTCGACGTAACAATACCGTACACCAGGCAATGGGGTGATCGTCTGAGTCTCCTTTAAAGCAAGTTTAATAATATAGTCAGCTATTAACCTTAAAAACTACTAAACATTATCTATAGCCACTTATTATACAATAGTTAGTTGTAAATATATATTGTATCATTAATAACTAATTCCCCGAAAAAAAAAACTAATCCCCCGAAAAAAAAACTAATCCATACATCTCTCATAGTTTATTAGAGGTCATGTTGTAGCTGGCTGTACATATGTAGCTTGATTTTCTTCTCTCTTTTACATAAGCACAAATCCGATGTTACAACATGTACAACCCGCTTACGTTATCTACTGTACTCACTATAAGAGCAAGTTTAATAGTATAGTCCACTACTAGCTCCAAATTATCTGTAGTCAATATAACAGTCAATTCATACAATAGTTGCTTATTATACTATTAATACCTAGTCTCACTTGTCATACACATATTACGTCTTGGAGTCCGTGCTGCAGCTGGGTACAGATCTGTAGCCCGCTGCTTTTCTCTCTCTTCCTTTATCTTTTTAAAATATGTTTATAGCTGGCCTATAGCTTACTATTGTACCTGCTCTAATGGCGATAGTAGGAGTATCAACTTTAATTATGACTTAATCAACGATCACTTCTCCCGGATTGCATTGGTAGAAGAGGAAATACATCGCCTTGACTTAAATATGAGAGTTCTAAAAATAATAATTGAAATATCAGGTCGTTGTCCCTAATCAATGCATCTGGTATAGGTCAGCAGTATCCTCCATACCCAAAAACTCTCCCCTCAACAAGGGCTTCTTTTTAGAAATTAAAATACGATGAAATTATTTGATATCCCTAGGAGTTTACTTTATTGGACAATATCACACCGAACGATACAACTACCAATCAACGATATAAATGCATTGGTTCTTTGAATTGTTGACAAATTGGAAACACTAGAAATATTTATATTTATGGATGGATTGAGTATACGTTAGTATACTAATATGCTGGAAATCTCTAGTAATGTTAATTTCTTACTAGTAGAACACCTGTTAATTAGTCAAATTATGAGCATATCTAATATATGGAGAGAACATATACCAGTACGCTCATATTTAAAAGTATTAATAATATACTTTGTGGTAAATCAACGATAAAGTTTAATATTTGACTTGGTTTCTTAAGATATGGTGTCAATCCAGTTTACAGGAGATACTCATATAGATAGTGTGTGCATATACGTATATAGGGGTAAATGTGCATGAGTTGTGGACGTCTGCATTTGCACTGTGTTTTCACTCTTTTTAAAAAATAAGCGTCAGCCTTATAAAAGTTAGTGGAGTTACTATTATTTTGATCCATGTTAGCATAATGCCCACGCAGCATTTTCCATGGGAAATTTGGGTCATCTCGGAATACTAACTTCATTTTAATAGACAAACACCAAATACCAATGTTCTGAACAAATAAAACTAGACACCTTGCATTGTGCTCCCCATGATGTTAGAAAATGTGCCATCGAACTTCTATTTTAACATCTGCTAATATTTTCCCTCAATCCCATATTATTACAAGGGATACAATACGTTGAAAATATCTCAAAATCAACTTTAAAATTAAATTTAAAAATTCAAATTTTAACTTTTTGCTTTGGTTTATTAGACGAACCTACCGATGGGGCCTTTGGTTGTAGCTGGTAAGCTGAAGAGCAAACTGTGGACTGATGAAGGTGTAACACTTAAACATTGTTATATCTAATTTTTTTTATATACATCATTAATCTTACAAGAGCTGACTTGTGTGCTTCCCAAGCTATAAAGTTATCATTCTCTGCAGTCTCGGCCTTTATTGATTCTCGATCGATTGATTCTCGATCCATGGACACCTTCGACACGCCCCTCTTCACTGGGTTCCAGATCCCAATTAAATGTATTCAAGTAGAGGATTAATTAATTCCAATACAAATCTCGAAAGTCTTTGTGATTTATATGAGGTTTCTTTGTGAGCACTGAGCAGTGACGAGTGACGACGACGCATGGTTAATCAACAATAAACAGTGCCACATCCTTAAGCAATAGGAGGAGATTGGACTACTTCTTTTGTAGCTAGAGATAATTTCCATATACAGTACCAACATCCGAAACCACTTTTGGGAGTCATACAAAAGTTTTCAATATTTAGGACACTAAATGCAGAGTAAACATACTTCTTCCGGTTTCATTTTAATTGACATTTTAGACAATGACACGGTCTACAAAATATATCTTTGACCTTATTTTTCTATTATAATATATGCAATAATTAAATGCATGCTTACTTTTATTATAGTGTTTTGACAGACAAATCTATATATGTTGTTATAGTTTCTTTAAACTAAATATTTTTAAAGTTATTGATGGTCAAAGTTATAAAAGTTTGACCTTAAGCTTATCCAAAACGTCAATTATTATAGAACCGGAGAACCGGAGGGAGTAGCTCAAACGGTTAGGTTCCTTATAGTGAAACCTGTTTGCCCATATTCAAGTTTTAGCTAGACTTGGTATAAGTTTCTGGTCGGAATCGGCACGGCGACCGCGGGTGGCTAGCGCAGGTGGTGTTAGGAGGTCGGTGTAGGTGACGGTAGGGAAGCCAGCCCGACTAATGGCGCGAGAGGTTGACGCAGTGACAACAGAGAGGCCGGTGACAATGGGTATGCCATAGAGGCATGCGGAAGCTGGCCGACGAAAGGCGTCGGTATAGTGGTGTCCACCCGCTGACGAAGGATGGCCGGTGATGGAGTAATGAAGCGATAGTTGTGGATCGGCAAGGGGCGGACAATAGGTGTAAAACCTAGCCCGACCTTGCTGGGATGAAAACAACACCGCTTTAGGTGTCGTTTTCCCTCTTAGGGGCATTGTCGAGTCGTCTCTCTCCCTCTAGTGGGTTGCTGGGTAAAAACCTTGTCTTGGTTCTCCTCAAGACCTCAACGGATGGCGGCGGTACTCATCGTCTCTTCTCTCCCTAGAGACGTCCTCTAGGAGGCTTCCTTGCCAAAACTTCTCTCAAACAGTTTGTGCATGCTCTCTCTAGATGTTTGTCCTCTTACAGTGGTGCCCTAGCTAATGCAAGTTGGCCATGTTGGCAATCCTTGTGGAAGAGGACTACAACAAAAACCTCATATAGAGATACTTTTGTAGAGGTGTTTTGCAAATTTCTTCTAAGATCATGAGTTTTTATAGTGTAGAGACACTTTATAGAGGCACTTTAAAAATTACCTAGAAAACTTTTACTCTAGAGATATTTTCAGCTCATTTTATTAGATTTTATCTTGTAGAGGCAATATTTCGGCACTGATATGTAAAAGTATTTTCTTGAGACATTTTAAACTATGTAAAGACACTTCTTAGAATGATAATGTATACTGAAGGAGTAAATATAAGTAACTAAAGGCACAAACATACAAGTAATGACATGTAGTTGAGTTGGTTAGTGCATTAAAGGTAGAAAAGATTTCTCCAAGAAGTCATGGGTTTAAGGCTTGACAAAAGCAGAGAAACTATTTTATTCTCCTTTTTTAGACTTGGTTTCATATGTTTGTGTTCAAGGCTTGACAAAAGCAAAGAAAGTATTTTATTCTCCTTTTTGGGACTGGTTTCATATGTTTGTGGTACAATTTAATGTCTCTAGAAAATGCTGGTTTCATATGTTTGTGGTACAATTTAATGTCTCTAGAAAATGCCTCTACCATCTTATAGATATTTTATAAAATGTCTCTTTTTTAGACTGGTTTCATATGTTTGTGGTACAATTTAATGTCTCTAGAAAATGCTGGTTTCATATGTTTGTGGTATAATTTAATGTCTCTAGAAAATGCCTCTACCATCTTATAGACATTTTATAAAATGTCTTTTCGTTTGTAGAGATAATTCACCATAAGACACTTATTAGACTTTTTTAAAGTGCCTCTAAAGTATTGTAAAGGCATTTGAAAAGTGTCTCTATAATACTAAAAAAATGTCTCTACAAAGCATTTTTCTTGTAGTAGGGCGGATCCATTCTTCTCTTTCACCCTCTCCCCTTCAATCCTAAAGGCATGGATGGAGTTAATTGCAATGCTCGGCTGTTAGGGTTTGGTTTTGGGCGGTTCAACTATAGCCTATTTGTTAGCCTAGCGGCGATTGGTCCAATGCTAGTCTTCTCCTGGTTCTATGTAGGTGTTATTAGTGCGTGATTGCAGATTTATTTTTTCGTTCCTAGCCTTAACCATTAACCATTAGATATGTGGTATCCATAACCATGATACTAACTACTGCATTTCAGGGTATCATTCTTGCATTTTTTTTCTTACTCTATGCAATGAAACAACCGCGATGTCTGATGCTATTCGTTAAAAAAGAAAAGGTTATACCATCACTCAGTTTTCTTTCAAGGGAGGGAGCGGGAGCAGGGGCGGATTTACTGTGGGGGCGGGGGGGTCTCGAGACCCCACTACCGCTCCCGGGACAGTGGAGACCCCCCTAAGACCCCACTAAAATTTTTTATGGGATGTGGGGGCTGAAGGAAGAGAAATTTGTGATTTGGGCCAAAAATAAAAAGGAAAGACAGCCCACGACCACCCCTGAGGTCATTATTTCCATTTTGGCCCAGGCGCCCAGCCCATTGGAAGAAATTTTGGCCCACTCGGCCACTAATCCAGTCTCCAACCGGGCAACCGTCCATTCCAATCCTTGCATCCCCAAATCCCCAATCCTCCCTGCTCCTTGCGACCGTGCGTAGTGGGCGGCGCTGGGCGGCGCGGCGGCGCGCGGAGGGCGACGGCTGACGGGGGCGACGGGAGGCGGCCGGCGAGTGGAGGCGAGTGGATCCGGCGAGTGGAGACGGCGCGGCGACACTGGCGTGCCGCAGGCGGCGGCGCGGCGCCGCGGCGGGGTCGGGACAGGAGGCGGGCGCGGCCGCGCGGGCCAGCCGGCGGGAAAGCGCCGCCGCGCCGTCGGGGAGGCGGCGCGCCGGCGACTCGACTGCCAGCGCCCAGCGAGGCCGCAAGGCAGGCGGGCAGGGCGAACAGGAGGCGGGCGCGGCCGCGCGGGCCAGCCGGCGGGAAAGCGCCGCCGCGCTGTAGGGGAGGCGGCGCGCCGGCGACTCGACTGCCAGCTGCCCAGCTCCCAGCGAGGCCGCAAGGCGGGCGGGCAGGCGGCAGGCCGCAAGCGGCCAGCGGCGCCGGCAACGCCGTGGGCAGTTGGGCACAGCCACAGCACAGGGGCAGCCGGGCAGGCCACTGCTAGTCTGCTAGACTGCTACTTTGCATTGGCCATTGGGTAAACTACTAACATCTGATTCTCTGAATATAAATTGTGTCAAGAGTTCAATTTCAGATTTTCAGTGACTTCAATTTCAGTAAGTTAGTGATTCTCTGACAGAAACTTATAATTGTTTCCTATACCTTTTTACTTTTTAGATTGTCAACATGTCAAAAAGAACACTACTCACGTATTATTCTAGTTCAAGCAACACAGATCCTTCACCTAGCACCGAGAATTTAAGTCAGCCGAAGAGGCCTAGGGCAGAGTTTAGTCAATCAGATATAATTGGTGATCCAGGGCTTCGCAAACCAATTGAAGTTTATCCACCTGAAATTAGAGATCAAGTAAAGAGGGCATATGCATTGAGTGGCCCAACTCAACCTAATATTACTATATTTCCTCGTAAATGGCAAGGTGGTGAGTGGAGATCCTTTCAAAAAACTTGGTTCAATGAGTTTGATTGGCTAGAGTATAGTGTTTCAAAGGATGCAGCTTATTGCTTGTATTGTTACATTTTCTTTGAACCGGGAAAACCTGAAAAGTTTGGGAGTGCTGTCTTTGCTAAGGAAGGTTATGTCAATTGGAAGAAAGGTAAAGATAGGCTTACCGTACATAGTAATTGCAAGACTCACAATGATGCTAGGAATAAATGTGAAGACTTTATGAACCAAAGAACAAGTGTATCTAAAAAAATTGAGATTGTTAGCAAGGAGGAAGAAATTAGATACAAGATTCGGTTGACATCTTCTTTAGATGTTGTAAGGTTTCTCATTGAACAAGGTGATGCTTTTCGTGGACATGATGAGTCTGATACTTCCCTTAGCAAGGGTAAATTTAAAGAGATGGTTGATTGGTACAAAGACAAGGTTCCTGAAGTGAAGGATGCATATGAAAAGGGCCTTAAAAATTGCCAAATGGTATCACATCATATTCAGAAGGATCTTACTAAAGCTTGTGCAGAAAAAGTGACGGCAGTTATTATGGATGAGATTGGAAATAGAAATTTCTCTGTACTTATTGATGAGTCTCGAGATGTATCAATAAAGGAGCAAATGGGTGTCATCTTGAGGTTAGTAGTTCACATATGTAGTTTTATATGTTTGATTTTTCAGATTCTATTTTGAGTACTAACTTAGAAATAATTATTGTTGTGCAGGTTTGTGAATGATGAAGGAAAGGTGATGGAGAGGTTTCTTGGTCTTCAACATATTGAGAGATGTACGGCTATTGCTTTGAAGGAAGCTTTATTTGGTATGATCTCTAGTCATAAGTTAACCATCTCTAAGATTCGGGGCCAAGGTTATGACGGAGCTTCTAACATGAGAGGGGAATTTAATGGTGTGCAAAAATTGATTCGGGATGAAAATCCTTATGCTTTTTATGTCCATTGTTTTGCCCATCAGCTACAACTAGTAGTTGTTGCTGTTTCAACTTCTACTCCAGCCATTGCAGATTTTTTTAACTATGTGCCTTTAATAGTCAACACTGTGGGTGCATCTTGTATGCGAAAGGATGCCTTGCTTGCAAAGCATCACGATGTATTGTTAGAAAAGGTGGAGAATGGTGAGATTACCACTGGAAGAGGCCTGAACCAAGAAAGTAGCCTAGCTAGGCCTGGAGATACTAGATGGGGTTCACATCTTAAAACTTTGCTTCGTATTCTAGTAATGTGGGAGGCTATCATAGATGTGCTCGAGATTGTTAAGAAAGATTCAACCAAACCAACATTTAATGGTGGAGCATTTGGTTTGATGGGTAAAATGCAAAGCTTTGATTTTGTATTCATCATGCATTTGATGATAGACATGTTGAGCATTACAGATGACTTGTCACGTGCTTTGCAAAGAAAGGACCAAGATATTGTTGAGGCAATGAGTTTGCTCATAGATGTGAAAGAGCTCTTGCAGGACATGAGGGAGAATGGATGGGAGCCACTATTGAATAGGGTGATTTCATTCTGTAATAAACATGAGATTAAAGTGCCAAAAATGGACAAGGAAGTTAATGAAAGAGGGACATCTACACGTCGAAGGCACAAGGTAACAAATAAGCATTACTATCATGTTGAGATCTATCTTGCAGCCATTGATGCCATTTTGGTTGAAATGAACCATCGCTTTAGTGAAGTTAGTTCAGAGTTATTAGTATGCATGTCATCTCTTAATCCACGGAATTCCTTCTCCAATTTTGATGTGGATAAGCTTGTGAGGCTTGCTGAAATTTATGCTGAAGATTTTTTGGTTGGTGATCTTATGCTACTACGAACTCAACTTGGAAATTTTATTAGCAATGTTAGGAGAAGTAAAGAATTTCTTGGATGTAAAGATCTTGCAAAGGTTGCTGAATTAATGGTTCAGACCGGAAAGAATAGAACTTATCACTTGGTGTATAGGCTCATTGAGTTATCATTGATACTTCCGGTGGCAACGGCTTCAGTTGAGAGGGTCTTCTCAGCTATGTCTCTTATAAAGACAGATTTGCGAAACAAAATGGGGGATGAATGGCTCAATGACTTGATGATTTGCTACACTGAGAAGCAGATTTTTAGAAGTATTAGTGATGAAAAAATCATCCAACACTTTGAAGAGATGAAAAAGCGTCGAATGCTAGTGCCTCAACAGAAATTAGTGGTATGCTCCATGCCTCCATTCTCTCCCTAAGTCTCTAAATTATTTGAATTCAAAATAAGTCATTTTCGATTAATCGTTCATTTGCCCTTTTTTTTTCTTTGTACAGATTACTAATGAAGAATAATAAGTGACTGGCATTGAAACATCATCTATTGGATATTGGTTTGGTATGGACAAAATTCTCTACTTATCATTAATTTGACGTGTCTACTTTGAACTATACATGTAGCCAATTTATATGTGAGATGTTTCGATTTATGCTGGCTTAGTTAGTTCAGCCCCCACTACTTTTTTTTCCTGGATCCGCCACTGAGCGGGAGGGATATTTGGACCTTTTCCTGTATATATTTAATATGATTAGAAAATATAGTAGTTAAATCTGGTCTTCTTTCATCATAATAGGGTTTTAATTTTTCACAAACAATTAAATCATACTATGTGTGTACGATATTTATGCACTGCATGTACGTAGAATGTGCGCAGGTGCACCCTTGAGTAGAACAATAAGATCCACCACCTTGTATATTCATTTAGGGATTTATTTAATTTCCTGTCAGGGTGATACCACGGTCGTTGGCATGGCATGGCACGTTGTATTCTCTTTGGCACGACATATACACTAGTAGTTGACACTCGATCTTAGGTGGTACAGTTGAATGTTTAGATTTCAAAATAAAACGGAGATGTACTTTTTGTTTAAATAAGTTCTAGAAAATGATTTCCCCATTTCGAATTAAGTAGGAGGAAATGTATTTCCTAACTGGTTTTGGAAAAGAAAGTAACCAATTTCTTCCTGAAAATTAGAGAAGGAAGAAAGTAATTTCGTTCCTAATTTTCAAGTCAATACTACAAATTGTAGTTATGCGAAAGCAGAAATAATTTGTTTGATACGTTGCATCAAGACACTAGAGTAGAGAGTGGTAGTTCTAAAGTCTTCAGAGTGGATTGAACTTTGAAGCAAAGGGCAGTTAAAGGATTAATTGAAACAAAAGACCCATTGAATATATTTTAATAATATATTTATTTTATATTAAAAATATTACTATATTTTTTTATAAATTTAGTTAAACTTAAAAAGGTTTGACGAGAAAAAAATCGAAACATTATAATATGGAAAGAGGGAGTAGCTTTGTCACCATTTTACCTACTGTCCTCTTAAAGTTTTTCTCCACTGTACTTATTATCCCAAAAGCCAGAATACTTCTAAGCTTTAACTTTACTATTTAATAAATTTTCACCACTAAATATTCTTAAATGATTATATTAAAATGAGCATAAGTTCTTATATTTACAACGTTACAATTTACACACTTTAATTTTTTTTGATAATAAATTCTTTCGTCTGAACTGGACCGAAAATCTAACGGAAAAGGCCACTAATCAACAAGGACTTGAAATAAGGTGCCATCCAATTTCTGAATTTCATTTCAAAGATCCACTGAACGCAGTGGTGGATCAAAAAGAAATAGCAGTGTATTCTGAGCAAACTAGATAGAATTACAGTCTTTCCCCTCCCATTTATATATCGTAAAAAATTTCAGTGGGGTTTTCGTGGGGTCTCTCATAGTCTTCACGCTAATAGTGGGGACTCGAGACCTGCCGCCCCCACACTGGATCCGCCTCTGACTGAACGGTTAAATTGAAAAAAAAACAAATACCAGTTAAAAAAATCGACCTAAAAATTTACAGTGGGAAAAAAAATTCCACAGAGGTAAACCACCCAAACTAGAGCCGTGATTAATGCCCCAGTATCTGTCATCAAATTGCCAAAGCCGTGATAATCACTGTAATTAAAGTCAGTTAATTGGTTTGAATCTTCTCTTCTCCTCCGTTTCCCCGTATAAAATTCAGTCGAGTCCCAGCCACACACACGCGCACCCACACACGCATTCACATCTCGCAATCTCACATCGCATTGCGAGAGCGGAGCACGCGGTCTCTCCATCCATCCCTGCTGCTTCTCCATCTCGCATCTGCTGCCTCCTAATTTGCTTCGGTTCGTCCTCTCTCTGTTCCTGATCTGAAGCTGCTGTCCTTTTCTTTTCTTTTCTTTTCTTTTTTCTGTCACTGCTGTCGTTTTGGGTTCTTTCTTGTTGAGGCGAGCTCGAGGAAAAAAAATGAAAATCTGTGGGGAAATTCCGTGGAATCGGGGGGGTTCGTAGGGTTTCTTGGATGGGTTCTTTTTGCCGAAAAATAGGATCTTTTGCCGCCATTCTTTCTTGTGGGTTGATAGTTTCCTTTTTTCTCTTTGCTATTGTGCGGCTTGTCGGCAGTGGTAAAATGTGCCAATTTTGGAGATTTTCTGCGGTTTCCAATGGCTGTAACTAGTGGGTTATTCTTTCTACAGTTCTGATTGATGCAATGAAGGGAACAAAACCGAATTGTGTGCATTAATTTGAGTAGTTGGGGTTTGTGTTCATCTTGGTGTTTAATACTGTCTACCAGTACAAGATGAGTTATTTGGATCTTCTTCACAAGGGAAATGAAGTGATTAGTGTGGAGTTGTTGTTTTGTTACACGGCATCGCTGTGTTCATTCATGTGGATGTGAGCTCTAGACAGAAAAAATTTCTTCTCAACTCTGCAGCTGCCAAGCAATATGACATGTTCTGATTTACTTTTGATTTTAATGCCTTAGATTTGCTAGTCCTACATGCAGAAGCAAAGTGAAATAGCATGGCCCATCCTAAATTTATTTTATCAATCAGTTGTAAACAATCTTTATCTAATTCGCATATATTGGATATCTTGAGAGTTTGCAGTAGCCAGGTAGTCATTTCACATCATCACATGTCCTTGCCTGTTTATAATTACTAGTCAAGAATGACTTACTTGAAAGCATATACATATACTCTTGTTTTTATTTTCTTTAGGAGCCAGATCGACCACAAAATACTTGGAAAATATAGCACATTCAAACATCCTGCATTAGTAATTGCAGGTTTACGAATATTTTGCTGATATTTACGCAATTGCAGGTTTTCACTCTACTCTTATGGCGAAACAGTACTACGCAACGAGCAGCCTTGTGATAGGCTATGCATTATGCTCAAGCTTGCTTGCAATCATTAACAAGTATGCCGTCACAAAGTTCGGCTATCCTGCTCTCCTGACTGCATTGCAGTACTTGACATCTGCTGGTGGTGTGTGGATCCTTGGAAAGCTAGGTTTTCTCTGCCATGATCCTTTCAACTTGGAGAATGCCAAGAAATTCGCGCCGGCCGCAATTGTCTTCTACCTTGCCATATTCACCAACACAAACCTCCTCTACCATGCCAATGTCGACACTTTCATAGTGTTCAGATCCTTGACTCCGCTTTTGGTTGCCATCGCTGACACCGCCTTTCGGAAGCAGCCATGTCCTTCCAAGCTCACATTCCTGTCCCTTGTGGTCATATTGGGAGGAGCAGTTGGATATGTGATAACAGATTCAGCATTCAGCCTCACCGCGTACTCGTGGGCGCTTGCTTATCTGGTGATCATAACAACTGAGATGGTGTACATCAAGCACATTGTGACAAATTTGGGGCTCAACACTTGGGGTTTTGTGCTCTACAACAACCTTCTTTCGCTGATGATGGCCCCCTTCTTTTGGTTCTTGACAGGGGAGTACAAATCGCTCTTCACCGCGATAGAATCAAGGGGTGAGAGGTGGTTTCAGGTTGATGCATTTGTGGCGGTGGCATTGTCATGTGTGTTTGGATTGCTCATCAGCTTCTTCGGTTTCGCGACGAGGAAAGCTATCTCAGCAACAGCATTTACAGTGACCGGGGTAGTCAACAAGTTCCTCACCGTGGCGATCAATGTATTGATCTGGGACAAGCACTCGAGCCCGTTCGGTTTGATCTGCTTGCTCTTCACCATTGCTGGTGGAGTTCTCTACCAGCAATCGGTTACAAAGAAAGGAATTACCGCGCCGCAGCATGAACCAGAATCATCTGAGCAAACCAAAGATGACAATGAGGGCATTGAGCTTGATGAGGAGAAACAAAGTTTGGTTCCAACTTCTAAAAGCTCCAATGCTTGACTTGCATGCTTAGATTTACATTCAGAGATCCTTTAATCTTGAAATAGGCTTTTGTGTAGTGTGAATCCCTGCAACAAATCACAATGTTAATCTAGAAGCAACTTCCTTGTGTCACCCAATTTCTTCAGGAATACTGAATACAAATAGCACTGCTGTTGTTTTTTTCGTGGAATGGCTTATTCCAATTGTAAACTTGTAATACACTGCTGGTATGGAGTATGGACATATCATAGCTGACAAAACTGATCATTGAACATGGATTTCTCTTATTGTTTCTATTGGATAGATAATAGTTACTGGCACTTCTTGATTCTGTCTTGTGATGGTATTCAATTAAACATGGTCTTTCTTTTACTTGTGCTGTGATGGGCATTTCAATATTTCAGTGCTAATTTCTATGAAAATATTTCGCATGTTGCAAAATATCATAGAAAAAAAAGGGCATATTACAACAATTTGTCCTTCTAACCATGTACACCAGCATTTGGCTAATTCCTCGGAATGTCAAGTTTTTCTTTATTTGCGGGTTTCATCATTGAGAAGTTGATGGAAGGTAAGCACTAGTAATGAAATGTGCAAGATCAATCCTCTTTTCTAACTGATGATATCTGAAGAAGTAGCAGTCAAAATTGACACATCCTAATGAAATTTGTCTAGAGGCTACCATAAGCAATTCATGCACAGGAATCAGAACAAAGATTATTCCCAGTTGCTACTGAGTTTAACTACCAGACCTCTGTCAAGTACAATCTTCAAGTGCTAATGTGTGCTCATGTAGGCTGATCTTACATGAATTGGAATTGGATGAGATGTCACTAGAATCTTCAATTCATGCAGTCACTTTCACCGCGCAATTGGGGAAGCATGTATATATCAGCAATCTCAAAACCATTGGGTAGAAAATTTTACATTCTGAATGAAGGAGCAAAGAAATAGTAACATGTATATCACACTTTACATAAACCATTGAAACCCTGGTCAAGTACAATTTCCATAGTAAGATCTCAAAAATATATATAAAAAAAGGGCTGAAACAGTGCTGGTTCTAGCTAGAAGCACACAAGCAGAGAAATGAATTAAGAAAGGACTGCGCTCAGTTAGATCCGTGTTAGTGACAACTGGACATCTCCAGCATACATAGGGGCAAGGAGCATAAATCAGTCTTCTCTCCGCCTTCTGTTTCCGGAGTTCAGAAAGTGCTCAAAATATCAGACTTGTTCTAATGGCAAAATTCGGGACCAATGTATTGCATTCCACATTAGTGTGCTTCATTATGTTTCTGGTGGCATGTTTGCGTAGAGGAAAGTGTAAAAGAGTTCCACTTCAGGCATACTTCGGATAATCTGAATGTGCTTGTTCTTATCTGGCTCCTCGAGCAATGGCAAACTCAGTTGAGCTACTTTGGCCAAGAGCTTTGCTAAGGGCAATCCAGGTGGAGGAATTGGAGCTCCAATCTGTACAGCCAAGTCCTCTACCACCACGCTAGCTATCTTCTTCAATGATCTATCCATGATATTTCTGAAATCATCACTGAAACCACAATGTTCGATTATGTAGGATATTCATGGAATCCCTTTTAAGAAATAAATACAGTTGTTAAAAGAGTCAATCGCAAATGTGCCACTGATCTTCAAACTTTGCAATAATTACTGTAAAAGGATACAACCTTCCTATCACAACCAAACATTTCCTTTCTCAATCCGAAGTAGTCCCACTGGTCTATGAATTGTATTGATGATTTCTTATATACAAAATGAGACTGCATTCCTTCGTATATGTATAGCAAATGAGAAAATCCAATCTCATAGAAACAGAGCTCCTTTATTTGTCCAGAAGCAATGTCATAATAATGCTATGTGTACAGATGACAAGAGGAAAATTTATTGTACCACTTGATTGTGTTGAAAATATTGATGTTAAATACTTTCAATTTCATCACTCCCATTCCATCTTTATGTGTTTCAAGTCTTCAACCTAATCCCCTCTTAAGAGTAAAACATCAAACAACAACCTAGTTGCTTACATAGCACATGCCATATGATATAGATTAGTTCATAGGAGATCAAAAGTATTTGTGAAGCATTTTGAAGGAATCAAAACTGATGATGAAAATAATGGGCAGCCATGTGAAAGATTGAGAAAACAAATTTGCAGTGCAAATTACCATATTGCTAAACATGCAGAGGATTAGCATTTTACCTTGACAAAACTATACGTGTCTCAGACATTAACTGATCAAGCTTCCTAACATCCTTCAGAAGTGAAGAATCATCAAAGCCACTACTGGACACAGCCATCAACTGTGCATACACATTGGCATTCTCAGGTACAAGGTAGTTTATCCAAGAGTTATCTTCACAAAGACCCATGAACTGCTTCAATATTTGTAAAATTGTTTCTAGGACTTCATCAATGCCCATAGGGTCTTTCAGTTGTTTCCTGCATATTTTCCCATGAAGTATTACTAAGAGAAACACACCATGTTATATAATTCTAAGTAATTTGAAGCGAACACGGAAGTCTGGATACACTCTGATGAATCAGTGCTGTTTCTGTACACCCTCTGTCCCAAAAAGACTTGATTTCTGGCTATGCACCTGGACAGGTCTTTTTGGGATGGAAGGTGTAATGCTTATTTCAGCAAGTAAAACTGAAACACTCTTCTTTTTTTCTCTTTATACATTAAATGCTAAAGTGCTGATCATGTTGGTTATACAATACTCCCTCCTTCCAAAAGTCTAAGTCCTATTTCTTTTTGCACCAAGACCAAGGTGTAGTTAACTCATTCATCATGTGACGAAACCAATGAACATGCAACCAATAAGTACTAAAATGACTTCTTGAGTTCCTATCAAAAATTTAATATAGCACATAATGACTACAAATAGGACTTAGACTTTTGGAAAAACCAAAGAATGAAATAGGACTTAGACTTTTGGAAGGAGAGAGTAATAAATAAAAAATTGGTGATGTAATGACCATATGGACAGGGAAAGAAACACTTACTCTTTCAAGATTTCTGTTGCAGCATGCTGCATCTTTGTAATTAATGCATTGATACCATATGTGGCAAGGTAATCAGCAGTTGCAAGAAAGTCTTTGTGCCCGCTTTTGCTAAAGGTGTCAGAACCCTCCTACAAATGGAGACATTTCAATATCAGCAAATAGCTTGGGCTCAAATCACTCAAGCATAATTTTGAATTTTAACCTTCAAGAGAACAAGCGTCAATACATGATGATTAAGATAAAGAAATATCATCTAAGCATCTCATAACTTTCATATAGTAGAAATGACTGAGAACAGGACATGGAGGGTAAATATTACCTGTAATTGCGCACCATCCGTAACACGAGCAAAATCTAAGTAGAGATGTCTGCCTAATATGGTGACCTGGACTCTAACATATAAGCTAAGCAACGTCATCGCCCATATTGAAGAAACAGTCCTTGTGAAACCTAAAACAACAATATAAATCCATAATTTCTCATAGTTCATTGGACAAAGAAAAATTCAACAAGGCATGCAACACGAAACCATGTAAGATAAGAAGAAGCGTACTCAAAATTTTGATCTTCTCCCAAGTGTCATACTTCTCCTTTGGTGTCAGGGCAGGGGCACTGGATTCTCCCTTCCCGTGCATTAGCTTCTCAGTCAGGTGTGAAATATCCAATTCCTCCATGATCCTTGAACGGAGATAATGCATAGCAAAAGGCAGTGTGGTCGTGTCTGAGATCTTCTGCACATTTTCAAAGTGGGTCTGCAATCTACAAAAAGAAGCATAGAAAACGATCACAAAGCAGTCTGTTTTGGAAACAATGGTATACTCAAGATTTCACTATTCTCTATACATCAGAGACAGTACATTACTACAACAACAGCCAAATCACACCTTTTCTAACATGTTGATACCTTATAGTAGATTCTTGTTCTTAAGGTATGTAGGATCAATAACATAAACTCCATGAACATCAATCACAGCAGTCCTCATCTAACTAGCATAAATAAGAGAGAATAAGATTTTCTCTCCATCCCTCTTATAAAAAAAAGGCGATGTAAATCGTCTAAAATAGTTAAAAGGACCAGAATGACTTGGGAAAGTAACAATGCAAGAACAGAAATCCCCAACCCAACTGAACACAACTAAGAAACTAATCCCCTGCAATTAGAACAATAGGCGCACCACAAAAGGTTTCTATTTTTTCCTCAAACCCCAACCGTAGAATCTATAATCCTACCCTCAAACCCCCAACTTTGCTGTTGCTAGGCTACCCATCAAAGACGAACACAGCATGATAGCAATGCAAGAAGAAGAAACCCCCCGATTAAACCCCACTCAAGTAGGTAGCAAGTAAGACGGAGGCGACGAGGCCGCGAGCATCTTACTGGTTCTTGATGATCTCCTCGGCGGCGCGCTCCTCCAGCGCGCGCTGCTCCACCCGGACGAGCTGCCTCCGGTGCGAGTCCAAGTACCTGTACGCGGCGTAGCCGGCGCCGGCGACCCCGAGCGAGACCAGTATCTTCCGCCGGTGCCGCCCCCAGAACCCCCTGCAACACAAATCCCCCACCAGCGAATCAAATCAAATCAATCAATCAATCACCCATCCCACCCAAGCAATTCGCCGAACACCTCAAGAGCAAAGCAAAAGGAGGAGTCCGACATATCCCCCCCAAGAAACCCTCACCTCGCGGAAGCCAGCATGGCGGCGCCGGGGATGGGTGGTGGTGGTGGTGGCTCCGCCCGTCGGCGAGCTCGATTGGCTCGTCCTGGATCAGCAAAGCCGAGGAGGAGGAGGTGGGAGCGAGGTGGAGGAGAGAGAGAGAGGGGAACGAGGGGCTTCGAAGGAAATAGAGAGGAGTTGGAGGGGGGAAAACGCAAAAGGTAGCGGAGGAGACAGACACAGAGCAGAGCCGTCTGGGATTGGGTGTCGGATGAGCAACACAACACAAGCTCTGCTAAAACCCTGTGTGTTTAGCAGCGGATTTGTACCCTGTTTTTTCTTTCTTTTTTCTTTTGAGTGGATTTGTTTGTACCTTGTGTTTTATTTTAGTTCTGCGTGTCGTGTTTGGCTGGGTTTATCACGGGGAGATTGAGGTTCTTTTTAACTATTTGCCACTCTTACGGAGTGGCACTATTGAGATGCTACTCTTCCAAACTTTTTTACACAAACACCACATAAGAGAGGTATTTTTCCTAACTAGAGTGCCACGTCAACAAGAGGGACTTGAAATGACCTTTTTACCCCTAATTTGAGAAATATGAGAGATTATATACAAACATATATAAGAAAATATTGTTTATTATATCTTAAAAAAGAGCTATCACGGGCAAATAAACGCTGAACAAGTTCACCACAATTTAATAATAGATTTAGCATAGTATATTATATCTCAAAAAATATTTATCACGAGCAAATATACGTTGATCAAGTTCACCAAATTTAATAATAGATTCAATACAGTATATTGTATTAAAAAAGAGTTATCACAAGCAATATACGTCGGACACGTTCACTACAATTTAATAATAGATTCAACGTAGTAAGTACGTACTATATTATATCTCAAAAAGAGTTATCACGGACAAATATATATTAAACAAGTTCACCCTATGTTGAATCTATTATTAAATTATGGTGAACTTGTTCGACCTATATTTGCCCATGATAACTCTTTTTTTTAAGATATACTCCTAAATAATATTTTCTTATATATGTTTGTATATAATTTCTCATATTTCTTAAACTAGGGGTAAAAAGGTTATTTTAAGTCTCTCTGGCTGATATGGCACTTTAATTAGGAAAATACCTCTCTCATGTAGTGTTTGTGTAACAAAATTTGGAAGAGTGGCATCTCAGTAGTGCCACTCCGTAAGAGTGGTAAATAGTTAAAAACCCCGAGATTGGACACATCTATTTGATTGGATCAGTTATTTTTCTTTTACATTACTCCATCCGTCAAAAAAAATAAATCTAGAACTAGATGTGATATATTCTAATACAACAAATCTGGACATATGTATATCTAGATTCGTTGTATTAGAATGTATCACATCTAGCAGTATGTTGGTTTTTTAAGGGATGGAGGGAGTACTTCATGTTGATAGTTGTGGACATAGAAATATGGTAAAATCTACAGAATTAGGTGTCGTGATGCATTATGTAACTCGTTCTTTTTGATTTTTCTGATTAAGATATAGATTTTATCTCGATTTTCATTAGCATATTTTTTAAAACTGCTAAATAATGTGTTTTGTGTAGAAATTTTTAATATAGAAGTTCCTTTAAAATATCAAATAAATTTATTTTTCAAGTTTGTAATGATCAAAATTTAATTAATTGTACACTAATAGCTACTACCCTATTATTGAGCTCAAATTTAGCAGGGGTGGTGGCTCGGCTGTCCATTATTCTTAATATCATAAACTGTGGTTTGTAATAACTTTTCTTTGCTAGTACTTTATGTCGCAATTTACTCAGTCTTTTGACTTAATATCATGGTAAACATTAATTTTGTCATACCAAGAACTAACCCAGAAGACACTGGTGCTAGGTCGTGGCTTGCTTCTCCGCCACTTATATGATAGGACTAATATAATATGTGATTTTAGAGTAGTTGGTTGTAGTATCAGAGTAAATGTTCAGCATTAGATTTTATTCTACCCCTGTAACAAATGGTATCCTCTCCAACTGGCAAGATTATTCGATTTAGCCAGCATTAGTTTACAATTCAACTAATTATATATGTTTGGCTAAATAAGGGCATGTTTGGGGGAGTTTCTGGCAACTGCAGCTTCTCATAGAATCTTCAATTGCCAGAAGCTCCCCAATCAGTTCAGATCTTCCTCAGATTTTGAAAATATATAGTTGTAGAATTTACAAAATGAACTAGAAGACAGAAATGGGGAAACCCATTTTTTCCATATTACTACCACTAGATTCTCACCAGCTATTTTTTTAGAATTTTAAGCTCCTCTAGATATGGGCGAAGGAGAGTCATGAATAAGGTTTGTTAGAAAAACAAATGTTATTCTTTCCACATATTACACGTTTTCCCTCAAAAATCCACGTGTAAAATGTGTAAAGAATACGACCTTAGTGCTACGAGAATTTTAACTCAGTTTTCATTTATTTTCTGCACAATTGACTTGACTAGACATGACCCCATTTTGGGGTGTGTTTAGTTCCATGTCAAAATTAGAAATTTGACTAAAATTGAAAGTTTGAAGAAAAAAATTGAAAGTTTATGTGTGTAGAAAAGTTTTGATGTGATAAAAAAGTTGGAAGTTTGAAGAAAAAGTTGGGAACTAAACAAGGGCTTGGTGCTCCACCCAATTCTGTCAGAACTAAAAAACAAAATATCCCCCAAATATATTCACAAGTCATATGCTTATCATATATCTATCTATCTATTATATACTAAAAGTCCATTAAACTTTCTACAAACGCTCCTAAACTGCCACATGGCATCCTACAAACGCTCCTAGGCTGCCACTTGGCATTATTAAATCTCACCGTCGATTTTCACTTAAATTAGTGGACCCGTTATTTTATACCATTGGATTAGATCTATTATTAAAAAATTTCAACTTTCTCTTTATATAATTTAAGCGCTACTACTGTTGTCATGTATGTACAGGTTTATACGATGTCTTCTCCTGTACCACATGGCATCCTACAAACGCTCCTAGGCTGCCACTTGGCATTATTAAATCTCACCGTCGATTTTCACTTAAATTAGTGGACCCGTTATTTTATACCATTGGATTAGATCTATTATTAAAAAATTTCAACTTTCTCTTTATATAATTTAAGCGCTACTACTGTTGTCATGTATGTACAGGTTTATACGATGTCTTCTCCTGTACGTACTTACGTGCACAAAAACAAAACAATAGTTTACGTACTATTCGCTGGAAAGAAAAGAAAAAACCATACGCATATACATAAAAAAGACGACAAAAAAATACATCATAAAAATCGATGATCTTTAAATAAAATATAATTTTCTAAAATATATTACATCACAAATATAAATATATATAGTTAAACTAAGATCTATAATAATAATATAAAATATCCAATCAATGTTCCTTGAACCATCTTCTAAATTATTTTTAAATTATATATCTAATTTGTGATTCTGTTGTTTTCCTTTAATTAAATTATAAGTTATATTGTGGTCTTAAATATATCACGACACATGGGGCTGATATATAATAGTTAGTTTTTGATAATCTATTATATACTAAAAGGCTATTAAACATCCTTAAAATGTTCTCAAACCGTTATATGGCATTCTACAAACACTCACATCTCACCATGTGTCACTCTAGCAAATTATAGAAAAAACAAAACATCTAGCCATCGATTTTCACTAATATCCGGTGCACCCATATTTTCTACCCTCGGATTTACTTAAAGAAAAAAAAAAGAAAGACCAACACCCCACCGCTGCCATCCATTACGTTACGTTAGGTATATGTACGTAGTTACGTACTCCCTCTGTTTCACAATATAAGTCATTCTAGCATTTTCCACATTTATATTGATGTTAATGAATCTAGACATATATATTTATCTAGATTTATTAACATCAATATGAATGTGGAAAATGCTAGAATGACTTCATTGTGAAACGGAGGAAGTATCATATATCCCTGCCCTCACCCTAATACATAAGGGCAACATGCCCTCCTATTTTCAAGCATTTTCTTAATTAATATTGGAAAACATACTTTCTAATAAATTATTTTAAACAACTAAATCATCTAAATAGCTATTTTTTTATCCGTGCACGGGACGAGATTATTTACAATAAAATTTAGAATTCAATACCTACATTAACTACATTTTAAAAGTAAAATAAATGTATTTTCTTGGGTCATATAATGATAGAGACTACCTATTGGTCACTCGATACATATCAAGAAAAATCACATAGATTTTTAAACCATATGAGTGGCAACATTTAGCTTATATTAGTAAATACAACACCCGACACATTTTCTAATAGGTCTAAAATTATATCTATATTTTAAAAATAGATAACTAAAGACTACGATCCGTTGGAATATGCCTCAGAAAAAAATCTCCATCCCTTGTCCTGCTGTACATATACCTTATTTGATCCTCTCGCCTTATATTTTTTAACTAACAACCTAATATTAAAAAAACATAGCTAAATGGCTTATAATTTCTAAAATTATATTTGATTTTTAATTTGTTTTAACTATTATTTTATTTACAGTTAATTAAATAATTCAATATCCATTATAGTTGTATTTTACTATATAGAAATTAAAATACTCCTATGCAGGGCAACTGAATGAAAATGAAAAATTATAACAGAATGAAAACATGTATTATTTCATATTAAACAATCTACGCAATGAAAACCAATTAAACACCTTTAGAGCACACTTAGGTCACCATATGTCACATTTTAAAATTATAAAATATTTCAATTAAATCGATGGACCCATTATTTTCAACCATTAGATTTAGTTTACGAAAAATCTTACGCTGCCACGTGTCATGTCCTGAAAATCATAAAAAATCTTAGAAATTTTGAGAAAAAATTAAACCTATCATCATTGGTTTTAAGTTACATTATTTGGAGAAGTTATAAAAATAAATCGCATCTACCTCCTCGCCCCCTTCACATGCGCGCAGGCCACTGCCAATCCCATCCCTATTTTTGGGTAGGAGTAAACTAAAAGAGAAATAATCAATATGTTAAAACAACCATAGTTTTTAAGCTACATGTCTGATTTCTAATATAATTGTTGCTCTATTTATAATTAAACTAGGAATTTAAGATCCGTATCCTTATATTTTCCTATATACAAAATATGGCATTCGACCACATTGTTGACGACGAACCCAAAAGTAAGATTTAGGACCTGCACTGGAGTTAAGCAGATCTC